ACTATACTTTTCCAGCAATTGCATAAGAAGCCCCTTAGTTTTGTGGAATTTTCAGTTGGATACAAAGTTAATTGAAATTTGTGAACTTTATTGAGTAATACTTAAGCTAGGTTCTCTAATTGATCTTGAGATTTCATTTGGGAGATGAATTCTGTATTTTTGGGATAGAATTTAATTATTGGATATTAGAGGACAATTAGGTTGTGAAGTAATCTCTTATAGGTTCGATATCATTGCCTTTGAGGAACCTAAGTTCTAACTAAGCTTATGTTGTCTTCGAGGTAATTCTTGAAGGTTGGCCTATGTAAGTTGGTGGGTTTAGTGAGTTAAACGTGATGTGGACTATGGTGAATCCAAGTAAGCACTGAATCAAGGTAGGGGGTCTTCACTTGCTTCACTAGTCGTTATCCTGACTAAATGTTGTTGGTTGTGCAAAATCTTACGACCTGGTACCCCAGGCCAAGGGGATATGTGTCAACACAGGTCGTCCTTACTTTGTGTTGGATGGGGTGAGTGCGGGCGTGCCAGCACGGTTCACCGTGCATTCGAAGATGATGTGGACGAATGGATGGATCGATCGAGTGGGCCTATTTGGATTTGACTTCTCTCAAAGCGATTGTGGACGAGAGAGGAACAGTTCTCAGTTGTCAGGTTCACAACCTGAGCTACAAGGTCATTGATTGTGGCCGGTGGTGGAAGATGGTCGGTGGATTTAGATTGTGTTCCAGCACCTCCCTATATTATGAAGGCTGTATAATATATGGGGTGGACGAATCCAATTTCTGCTAGACCTGGCAAAGGGGTTTTGGGTTGTGCTTGTGTTAACTCGTTAATTTAACAGGTTAACACGACACGACCAATTAAGCTAACGGGTGAGAAATACCAGACTCAAAAACGACCTGTTAAGAATAAACCAGGAAAAAAAAATATCCCCCAAAACGAGCCAGCAACCCCCTATCTCTGCCCTTTTTCTCCCAATTTTCATCTTTCATAAACACCATCCAAAAAAATTTGGAGGTAATTCGCGACCCTGGCATGATGCAAGACGAGCTATTAATATTATAACAACTGTATATATACTCCAACGTGCCACACATTTACACAAAAGTGTATTTAGTGGATTTGGTTTCTAGTGCATATCCTTTGGTACAAGCCTAGGTTCGAGTCTTAATTATGTGAATATATTTGTAATTTTATTCTCTTTTTATTATAAGAACAAAATTTTAAATAGTTTTAAAAAAGAAGCATGTGAAAAATATAAGGGGATAGATCCAATTAAACTAACAATAGTATATATCACATCCATACGTTTTTTTCCTTAAAAAATAATAATAATAATTTCTTCAACTCGAAACAAAACACCCATTCATGTCTTCTTCTTTCTTGTGAACTTTTATTTACTGAACGAACGCACTCCCTGGGTTCGCCTGAAAGATAGCCCATTTGTTTGAAAAACTAAGTTAGTGGGGTTCATTTTCTAGGGGAACAAGTAACTTTACTCAACGAAGGCACCCCTTGCGTTGACGTGAATAAATATCCCGTTTGTTTGAAAAGGTAAGTTAGTGGGGTCCTTTTTTTTAGGGAACAGGCAACTTTACTCAACGAACGCAACCTCTGCGTTCGCATGAACAAATAGCATGTTTGTTTGAAAAAGTAAGTTAGTTGGGCTCATTTTTCCCGGAAAATTGACAACTTTTCTCAATGAACGCAACCCCTGCGTTCGCGTGAACAAATAGCCCATTTTTTTGAAAAAGTAAGTTAGTTGGGCCCATTTTTCAGGGGAACAGGCAACTTTACTCAACGAACGCAAACCATTGCGTTAACATGAGCAAATGGCCCATTTGTTTGAAAAAGTAAGTTAGTTGGGCCAATTTTTCCGAGGAACTAGCAACTTTACTCAACGAACGCAGCCTTTACCTTCGGGTGAACAAATAGCCCGTTTATTTGAAAAAGTAAATTAGTTGGGCCTATTTTTCCGGGGAACAGGCAACTTTACTCAACAAATGCAACCCATGCGTTCATGTGAACAAATAGCCCATTCGTTTGAAAAAGTAAGTTAATTTGGCCCATTTTTCTGGGAAACTGGCTCCCTTACTCAACGAACGCAAGCCCTGCGTTTGCGTGAACAAATAGTTTGTTTGTTTGAAAAAGTAAGTTACATGGACCCACTTTTCCAGAAAACAGGCAACTTTACTCAACAAACGCAACTTATGCGTTTGCATAAACAAATAGCTCGTTTGTTTGAAAAAGTAAGTTAGTTGGGCCCACTTTTCTGGGAACATGCAACTTTACTCAACAAACACAAACTCTGCGTTTGCTTGAAAAAGTAAGTTAGTTGGGCCCATTTTTCCAGGGAATAGGCAACTTTACTCAACGATCAAAACTCATTGCGTTCGCGTGAACAAATAGTCTGTTTATTTGAAAAAGTAAGTTAGTTGGGCCCATTTTTTGAGGAAACGGGCAACTTTACTCAACGAACACAACCCATGCATTCGAGTGACCAAATAGCCCGTTTGTTTGAAAAGGTAAGTTAGTTGGGTCTATTTTAACAAGGAACAGATAACTTTACTCAACGAATGCAGCCTCTGTATTTGCGTGAACAAATAGCCTGTTTGTTTGAAAAAATAAGTTAGTTAGGCCCCCTTTTTTGGGGAATTGGCAACTTTACTTAACAAACAAAACTCATTGCGTTCACGTGAACAAATAGTACGTTTATTTGAAACAGTAAGTTAGTTGGGCTCATTTTTTGGGGAAATGGGCAACTTTACTTAACAAACGCAACCCATGCATTCGAGTGAACAAATAGACCGTTTGTTTGAATATGTAAGTTAGTTGGGTATATTTTTCCAAGGAGCGAGTAACTTTACTCAACGAACGCAGCCTCTGCATTTGCGTAAACAAATAGCCTGTTTGTTTGAAAAAGTAAGTTAGTTGGGCCCATTTTTAGGGGAACGGGCAATTTTACTCAACGAACGCAACCCTTTGCGTTCGCGTGAACAAATAGCCCATTTGTTTGAAAAATTAAGTTAGTTGGGTCCATTTTTCCGAGGAACGGGCATTTTTACTCAACGAATGCAACCTATGCATTTGTATGAACAAATAGCTCGTTTGTTTGAAAAAGTAAGTTAGTTGGGCCCATTTTTTCTGGGAACAAGCAACTTTACTCAACAAACACAACCTTTGCGTTGGCGTGAATAAATAGTCCGTTCATTTGAAACAGTAAGTTAGTTGGGCCCATTTTTCTAGAGAATGGGAAACTTTACCCAACAGACGCAACCCATTCCTAAGCCCACTTAAACATTTCGGACGGTTAGAACAGTCTGAAAAGACTCGAGACTCAATAAGGGATAAACTTCCACATTGGTCAACCCGGGATCCCGTGGGGTCCACGACCACCAATTGACAATTTGATAATTTCTATAGATTCTACCAATTTTAATTACCATTTCCTGCAAGTCTGGTCAGAATCGGACGGTCAGATTAATCACGATCACACGAATGGACGATTACCATTAATTCCACCCTAGGGTTCGCGATTTCGGAGTATCTGGGACTCCAATTCATGATCCGTCGAATCCTACACGATCCTAGAAACATGAGGTACAACATACGTGAGTTTGAGTTCGATCCAATGGTCCGAACCTATCGAACCCGAAAATCGCACAATAGGCGAAATCCGTTTGAGGTTCAAACGGTATCCAAATTGGAATCTGAACATACCTATGCACTCGTGACAATAAGAAGATCATTTTAGGATACAATGTTGGACCACCACACTGTCCATGTGCCGCCGAACATGCCGGCAGCGCGTGGGCGACTTGATCAAATTCCAGTGACCGGAAAACTTCAAAATTGAAAGCCTAGCTTCCTACCCTAGGTTTAGAACATTGATTGGAGCCACTTTTGTTCTTGGACCTACCCCGAAAAATGGCCGGAAGTGGCTGGAATTTCAATTCAAAAATCGGCCAAACTTTGTTTCAAAAATCAAATCACCTAGGCTACAAATCGATCAATTCCTACCCAACCATCAGCTAGAGCATGGAAAATAGGTGAAAATCCATACCTCACATGTCCGGTTTGGTGGCCGGAGGATAGAGATAGAAGCCATGAAAAATCGAACGAAAACCGGCGAGCTTTTGGGCGATTTCCAGAGGTGCATGGTCGGAAGGTGGCTGGAGTTGGCTGGGGAGTGACGGCGATGTCTAGCCGGACGTTTTGGGTCCGATCTCGAGGGTCGGGGTGGTCGATGTCGGTGGTTATAGAGGTTTGGAGGAGCGATGACTTAAAAATTCGAATGGGGGGAAGGATTCTATCACGGGGAGAGAGAAAGAAAGAGAGTGAGAGAGAAAGAAAGGGAGAAAAAAATTAAAAAAATATCTTTTTGCAAAATTACAGTTTTGCCCCTCTATGTGTTTTGATTGTATTTTACTCAATACAACTCGGATTTGAGCCCACTACGTGTTTGTGGACTCATTTCGATGTGATCTATGCAATGGTATAAGCGAAATTCCCAAATTCATTCCAAGTCAAAAAGTTAACTTTAAACCTAATAAAATATTCTGGGGGTATAATTGTCTTTCCTAGAATAAATTAATAATTAAAAATTAATTAAGGATCAGATTGTTATAGTTTTCAATCTTGTCTTCCATAGATTTGCTATTTGTGTCAACAGGTGTCTTAATTTCAGAAGGACATTGTTGCTTGTTATGACCATAAGCACCACAACCCAAGCAAACTAGGCGATGCCCTTCATAGTCTAAGCCATACCAATCATTTTCAACTTGAACGTTTGCAATTTGCGGTTATGTTAGGTCCACTTCAACACATATGCATGCATATTTGCCACGGGCTTGCGCAATTGTATGAGTATCAATGCAATACGTGATACCAATGAGATCTCCAATTCGTTTTATGGCCTCAGCATTAAACCATTCAATATGTAACCCTGTGATACACATCCACACAGCCATACGTGTAATAGTGGCTTCATTAGGGTTAAATCATGGCTTCCATCTTTGCATAACTAGCGATTGCACAGCAATTGTCCATGGTCCTCCAGAAAAAACATACCTCATATCTTCTTCTAAAGCAAACCTTACAATATAGAAGTTGTTTTCCAAGTCAATCAAACTCATCGGACCTTTCAACATGCTCCATTTTTGCTTTAGGCGAGTCAACAAAAAGTTATAGGCATGGGCCTTACCCATTAGCTTGATTATTATGACATTTTGCCATGGACGGTAAAGTCTATCCTTTACCTTTTCTGAGAAACGAATGCAAGGTCCACGGGATCCTTCAGAAACTTCAAAGTCATCATCTTCAATCTTGACTCTATCTTCTTCCAGATCCTCTTTGTTCAAACCAAACCGACCAATATTCATGGGTTTCTCTTTGAAGTTCATTCCAAATTTGGGTACCACAGGCATAACAGACTCCTCCATTGCGGCAAAACCCATGGCGTCAGGTTCATGGACACGGCTTCTCTTTGCACCTCTAGGTTCCCATGCCCATCCACTTCCGATGGTTGGGAAGCAAAGAAAGTTAATTCCATCTACGGCGAAGCCACAACGAGTTGTTTCAGATCTGAAATTGGGTGAATAGTTTTGGGTTTAGGAATTGGAGCTTTTAGATTCAGGTATAAAAAGTAGGACCATAATTTTTTAATTATTCTTTTCAAGCAGAGGCTGCTCTTTTTTAAAATTTAATATTTTTTTATATATAAAATAATAATTTTATTTTTCAAATTTTAATTTTTAAAATCAAAACAATAGTCTAGTTATTTTCTATTAAATGTACTTTAGTAAAGATATTGACCTCTTGTTTTTTTTTAACAAATAATAAATTTTTTTAGTATATTCTATATATATCTATATATATAATGCAAAAGGCAGAGAATGGTGAAACATTCTAAAATTTCAAATATACCCTTTGTCAAACAAAAAATTAAAAGCACCCAATTTTAATTAAAGCATGGTATAATTGTAAAAGAATAATTACGCATAACTTTAAAAAAATTAAAAAGAAAAGAAAAAAGGTACTGACCCTCACTCCTAGCAGTTGCTCTTCTTATCAGTTTCTTCGGCCTCACCGTGTTCTAAGAGCAATTCGAGTAGCGGTTCCTTTCAGTTTGCCCCCCACTTTCTTCACACCCAATTATCATAGGCCTTTCTTCATACAGTGTGAAAAACAAAAAGAGGAGCAGAAAAATAGAGAACCACGGCTAGGAACAACCACAATGCTCTGTGCCAGCTTCACCAATTTCCGAGGTTTCCCCGGCTTAATTTGATGCCTTATGTTTTCCCCCCTTTACTTTTACTGTTGTTTTGGTTTCCTCATAAAATTTCTGTTGGCTGCGCAAATCTCACGGTCTGGTGCTCCGGGCCGAGGGGATGTGCGTTAACACGTGACGTCCTTCTTTTGGATGCAGTGCGGTTGTGCCCGGGCGTGCCAGCACAGTCTACCGTGCGTCTAGATGGTGATGAGGTTTGGGTAGAAGATGGTTAAATGATGCGCCTGTTTTGAGTTCAACTCCTAATCAAACGATTGTGCCGAGAGAGGAACTGATCTCGGCCGTCAGGTTCACGGCCTGAGCTACAAGGCTGTTTAGTGGTGGTATCGGTGGCGGGTTTTAGGCGGTGCTCCGGCGCGTTGCTCAAAGAGCGACGGTCGTATAATATATAGGGTGAATGAGATGATAACAGAGATGGTGCTCCGGTGCCTTGAAAATCAAGGGTCGTATGATATATTGATGAATGGATTTTCCTTACAATCTACCACTACTCCTAGGAAAGCAAATAAAGGTATTGAAAGTGCATTACACGAAAATATAATTTGCTCCGTGGGAGGCTTTTGGTTTGGTGTTTGAACCCCTTGAATGTAGTCTTGAGCTTAGTATTTATAGGGGGGGTCCTAGAGGGACAATCGAGGCTGAAAAGATCTGCGTGGTGGAGCCTGATCGGGGCAAGTAGGTAGTCAAGTCGGCATTTGGGATCGTGAAGCATGGTGGTGTGACCCCCATAAATCCCGGTAAATCTCGGCCACCGCCCTGATCGTGAGTTCTGCCCCATTGGCCGTGGGAACTCATTTAATGCCCTGGTCTAGTGGTTGGTGATTTGACCTTAAGTTGTAAGAATACTTGTGAGAATTTTTGCGCCTAACCACTCTGATTTCCATCACCAAATCCTAACTTCAGTCACTTCCCTTCTTCCCTCGTGCATTAAATGTTTCTTGCGACTAGTGGGTTTGCTGCGATAGTCAGAGGCATTACCTCATTAAATGGGGCGTGGGATCCTGAGGCCACGTGGCGATTTAACCACAGTATCTTCGGCCGTGCCTTTTACGGCCTTCGGCTTCGGCCTATAATACCGCGGTCGCGAGGCCGAGAGGATTCTGCCTTTGCAGCTTTTCTTTTGTTTTCAGGAAGGCGAAATGCCTAACGAAACGGTGCCCCCACATCCCTAGATTCTTCGGTCAGTTTATGATCGTGATTTATTAGGCACAAACATTGCCCCCACATCCCTGGATTCTTCGGTCGCGACCTGGGCAGAGGCCAAATGGATTCCAAGGGATGGACCCTTTGCATTCCTCCTGAAGTGATTGACAGTTGGCGCCTTAAATGCGTAGGTCGGTTGGCGCATTTAATGCGCAAGCACGTCTTGCAGGCCATCATTGCGCGAGCCATCGTTTCGTCTCGTTAAATGAAACGACGGCTTCTGGGCTTCCGACACGTCATCGCGCACTCGAACACACTGTCAGACCATTACGTCTCTCGAGAGAGCCATGCCCTTTCGTTTTGAATTCTAGTGCCAATATAAAACCCAAGCTTCTTCATTCTCCTTTACACTTTCAGAATCCTCAAACGTCCAAACTCTGCCAAACTATTTCCTCAATTCATCAACCCTTTTAAAACTCCAAATCTCAGCACTCCATCTCGTTCTGCCCAGTTATCCACTCATTAGTAACCAACGATTTTAGTCGTTTCTTCTGCATTTCTTAGAGAACTCACGAACTCTTTGCCCCTTTTTCTGAGTGCTCGGCTCCGTGGTGTTCTTCGTGTTCATCACCCTTTCTTCGACTTTTTCCTTTAACACACCCTACTTTAATCTGTTTCAATGGCCTCCAGCACCTCTACATCTGTTGAAGCTGGGTCCCAAGTCTTCCAAACTGAGTTTGAAGACATTTGCCGAGAAATCCAGGGCTCGGTCCTACCCAACATAGTCACGCCCTAGACTGATGATGACGGCGCTGCCACCGATTCCTGCGTCCTCGGCCCCTCTGTAGATGGCTGGATGCTAGAGAGGCTGGTGGCTCATTTGAAGAACAATCTGGTGGACCTCTCGGCCTTTGACGGGGGGGACTTCCAAGATTGGAATGTCGCCAGGCCGCAGCCCCAATGGCCAACCTCGACCCCGGACTAGGAAAAATGGATGCCGAAGATGGAGCACTTCTTCGACCAGCAATGGAAGGATCAAGGCATGTACCACTTGATCAAGCTGTTCGATCGGCCGCTCGTCATGGACCGGTCGCTCTTGGCCTCGGCCATATGCTTAGGGTCATCGACCACAAATACTATGAACCTCCAGTTTGGCATGATGACGCCAACCGTTCTAGACATGGCCGCCCTATTCGGCCTCTCCCCTCTTGCCGTGGAAGTAAACGCCACTCTGGTCACCCCTGAGGCTGAATGGAGTTTTAAGGCCGCATGGCCTACGGTCGCCAAGCTTGCTGGGAGTAAGCCGATGATGATTCCATCGGTCCCTTGGGCAAGGTCGAGCATGCCGTGTTCTTGCTGTACTGGCTATGCAAGTTCATATTCTGCACCCAGGCGAACAAAGTCACCCTGGAGTTCGCCCATCTGGCCGACTATCTCGCGCAAGGTGGAAGGCTAGCGCTCAGCCCATTCCTCCTTGGTCATATCTACCGCACGCTTCACGACGTCATCACGGATGGGATGAAGCCGAAGCATGGTGGTCCACTATGGGCCTTCCAGTTCTGGCTGCAAGTTACTTCCCAGAGCTGAGGGGGGCGGCCAATATTGCCAACACCGACCCGTTGGCCAACGCATTCGCCCGGGCCCCCAGGAAGCATAAACACCTCGACTTTCTACTACAAATTTTTCTACGGCTTAGTCGAGAGGACCGGGTCGCAGTTCCGGGTGTGCCTTGCTCGGCCGTATCCTTTGTTCCTAGCGCACGACCTCTCCGTGATTCCTGACGGCGAAATGGAGAACGATTTGAGGGAGATCTGGGGCTCCTTCCTGGTCGCGCGCAACCTTCACTGCGGCCTGTCCAAGGCTGGGGCCAAGGTTTATTTGCCGAACTTCGTGGCACGGCAATTCGGCCTGATCCAAACGGCACCGCTTCCCCCGTTGTCAACCAACCGGCTCTCGTCTTGGAGGGTCGACGTCGCCCAGCAGCACGGCGTGGCTGGCATTTCCTTCCAACTTCGAAAGGGAGTGACCTTCCTCACTCTAACGCCTTGGTTGCGTCGTAATGCGTATGACGAGGATGGTCTAGTACGAGGAGTGCATTTCGGCCAGATTCATTCGGCCTGTTGAAGAGGCCGTGATGGGGGCTTTGAAGAATGCAGATTGGGACCCCCTCCTTCCCAGGGCTGGCAAGAGGAAGAAGGCCTCGGCCGTGCTTTCTCGACCGAGTACGCCGGCCGTGGCCGTACCCAGGGTGGCGGCCCCTCCTTTGGCCAGAGCAACGATCGTGACTTCAACCGCGGCCCCAACCTCCAGAGCGCCGGCTATGGTAGGGGCGCAAAAAACTTTGGAGCATAGGACCGTGCCATCCGCCCCACCGGCTCGACCGATCGCTCCCATTGGTAAGCCCTCTTTCTTTTATGTTTTTCCATCGGCCTCTCTGAGCCACCTTTGTCCTTGTTTATTTTGCTTCTTACCTCTTTTGCTTCTCTCTCTGTACACGTAGCCCCGGGTCGCAAGAAGGATCGAGAGGCCTTAAGTACTGAGGCCGCGCCGGCCGAAAGTGTTGCGGTTGAGACGGCGGTGTTAGAGCGGCCGAGAAAAAGGGTCCTCCTTGTTCTTTCGGAGGGCGAGGACGAGGAAGAAGTCCTTCCTGTGATTGTGAGTAAAGCCCCTTCCGTGACCGTAAGTACTTCTCCTTGATTTCTTTTTACCCCTTTTTTTTTCAGGCCACGCCCTCCCTCTCTTTATCCATTCTGATAATCTGGTCCTTTCCTCAGGGCGAGGCAGTGGCCGAGGAGTTGGCCGAGGAGGTGGCCGCCGCCGAGGTGGCGGTTGAGGGGCGGCCACTGCTGAGGTGGCAGAAATGCTGGATGCCGAGGCAGCAGTTGCAGAGGTGCCAGCCACTGAGGAGGCCGCCGCGGACATGCCAAATGACGAAGTCCTTGCTGTGGAACCGACGCTGGCCGCCCTGGTGGAAGTCCCTTCGGCCGCCTCTACCGTGCCTACCTTGGCCATTACCGCGTCTGTCGAGCCGTTGCCGTCCGCTCCTCATCGTCCAAGCAGCACTGTGATCCGCTCGATAAGTGTTTGCTTTCACTATACTTTGTTTTATTTTTAGAATTGCGCCACATGCTTTTGACCGAATTTTTTGCTTCCAGCCTCCCCGGTCGTCGCTGCTGCTATCCACGGTAGCTATAGCCTCAACCACTATGTCCGAATTTTTTGACCTTGGCCATTATCCACGGTCGCTGTGAACATGCCCCCGACGCCGTTGTCCCAGGACTCGACGGTAGTGACTGAGCTTGCAGTGGTTGAGGCTATAGCTACTAACGCGCCGAGCCCGCCGCTTGTCTCTTCGACGGTCCTGACCGAGCTTGTGGTTTCAGAAGTTCTCGGTGCGCTGTCGGCCGCTGAAGTGAGTATTTAGATTTTCACCTTGTCATTCCTCATGTCCCAGCTGGTTGTTTCCCATTTAAATTCTGCCGGTACCACCAGCAGAACAGCCACAACACCGAAGACTGCATTAGTATGAGGAAGATCGTTGAACGCCTGATTCGGGAGGGAAAGCTGGATCAATACATCGCCAGACCACAGCAGGCACTATCAGCAGAGGCCCCATACTGGCGGGACCCTCTAACCGATCCATGAAGCAATATGTGCGTGCCGCTCACTACCCTCAAATTTTTGACATAGAAGACGATTAGTATCATAAGGTCCCGAAGGTGGGTTGGGAGCCTATCACATTTTGCGAAGAAGAGGAAGAAGGGATCATTTACCCCCACGATGACCCGATGATCATTCGTGCCGAGATCGCCGACTACGATGTAGGACGGGTACTGATCGACACCGGGAGTTCAGTAAATGTGATTTTTGCCGATGAATTCAAAGGATTGGGAATTTCCAAAAGCATGGTCAATCGGCAGATAACGCCTCTACTCAGTTTTTCTGGGGATCTGGTCCAGCCAGTCGGCAGTATCAGTCTGCCCATCGCCTTCGGCGTTGCCCCCAGAAAAACAATGACCTACTACCAATTCCTCATCGTCGACTGCCCAACGGCATACAACGTCATCTTAGGACGAACGGCACTCACCAGAGTCAAGGCCCACTTGTCCCCCCATATATTGCTGATGAAATTCCCTACCCGCAACGGTACTGGCGTTATCCTAGGAGACCAGCTCAGCGCACGGACGTGCTATGCGACTGCTCTGAAATTGGTAGCTTGCAAACCTCCAATGGAGGACATGTCTGTGCAGGGACTACCGAACGGTAGCGGGCCTATAGACGACCCAAGAGAGGAAACGCCAACGCTGGAAGCACAGCCTGCCGAACAACTCGAAACGGTAATCCTGGATGAGGAATATCCTGATCGATGTGTAAAGATCGGCACCACCCTAGATCCCGACCTATGAGCGCAATTCATTGACTTCTTGCGGCAACAGACGGAGGTCTTCGCCTGGTCTTATGATGACATGTCCGGCATATCACCTGACGTCATCAGCCACAAGCTCAGCATCTCCCCCGCCTATAAACCAGTCAAACAGAAGCGCCGTTCGTATGATGCCGAACGGTATGAGGCTATGCGAACCGAAGTTGACAAGCTTAAAGCCATCGGCTTTATCAGGGAAGCTACGTACCTTGTCTGGCTTGCCAACTCAGTCATGGTTCGGAAGGCCAAGGGAGGATGGCGAATGTGTCAGGACTATACCGACCTGAATAAGGCCTGTCCGAAGGACAGCTTCCCATTGCCGAGGATCGACCAACTCGTTGACGCGACCGCTGGACACGAGCTGCTCAGCTTCATGGATGCCTATTCAGGGTACAACCAGATTTTCATGGACCCTGCCGATAGCGAGCATACGGCATTCATCACTGACCTCGGGTTGTACTCTTATAATGTCATGCCTTTCGGCCTGAAGAACGCGGGGGCAACATATCAACGGCTCGTCAATCGGATTTTTGCTAAACACATCGGCGGCATTATGGAGGTGTATGTCGACGACATGTTGGTAAAAAGCAAAACGGCAGGGGGGCATCTGGAAAATTTAGCCCTCATGTTCGGTATACTGAAAGACTACCGAATGAGGTTGAACCTAACGAAGTGCACCTTCGGTGTATATTCGGGGAAATTTCTCGGATTCATGATCAGCCAAAGAGGAATCGAGGCCAATCTCGAGAAAATCAAAGCCATAATCGACGCGCTTCCGGACGTGTTAGCCTTACCGGACGTGTCGCTACCTTGACGCGCTTCATCTCCAAGGCCACCGATAAATGTGTACCGTTCTTCAAAGCCTTGAAAGGGGGCAAACATCATATCGCGTGGACTCCCGAATGCGACCATGCATTTCAAGACTTGAAGAACTACATGAGCAAGGCACCACTGTTGTCAAAACCGCTTCCCGGAGAAGTTCTCCTCCTCTACCTTTCGGTATCAAGCACTACCATTAGCTCGATATTGATACGGAAGCCAGAGAAGGCAGAGCTACCAATCTTTTATGTCAGCAAGGCCCTTCACAGCGCCGCGCCGTCGGTACCCGCCCTTGGAATAGCTAGCGCTAGCCCTTGTTGTCTCAGCTCGAAGGCTCCGCCCATACTTCCAAGCGCACGAGATCACGGTTCTGACCAATCAGCCCCTTCAGTAGGTACTTCAAAAGCCAAAAACGTCTGGCCAATTGGTCAAATGGGCGATCGAGCTGGGAGAATTTGACATATAGTTCAAACCAAGGCTTGCAAAGAAGGGTCAGGTCGTCGCAGACTTCATCTCCGAGCTCACACCTTCTGACCATCGGAAACATCCTTACCGAACGCTAGTATTGCGGAGCCAGGAAAAATGGATACCGAGCGCTTTGATCCTTCTGTCCCTCTATGGATCCTGCATGTTGATGGCTCGGCAAATCAGCAAGGCTGTGGAGCTGGCTTGGTGTTAACTACTCTAGACGGAAGCAAAGTCGAATATGCCCACCGATTCAACTTCAGAACCTCTAACAACGAGGCATAGTATGAAGCTCTCTTGGCCGGCCTTCAGCTAGCCAAGAGCATGAGCGCAAAACAAATCAGCATTCACAGTGACTCCCAGCTCATAGTGAATCAAATAACGGCAGACTTCGCAGCGAAGGATGCCTCCATGTCCGCCTACCTATCGGAAGCCCACCAACTCATAGAAAAGTTCCAGGCCTACGAGATTCGGCAGATCCCCAGGTCAGAGAATAGTCAAGCCGATGCATTCTCGCGTTTAGCTTCAGCAATAAACGATAGGATCGGAAGGAAGGTGCCAGTGGAGATATTATCCCAGCCAAGCATGACAACGGCTGAGGTGTGTACCGTATGGTACGAGGACACATGGATATCTCCAATTTATGCCTTCCTAACGAACGGAACCCTGCCCACAGATAAGTCCCAAACTCGAAAGCTACGGTACCGATCGGCAAGATACACAGTCATCGACGATGTTCTGTACAAGTGAGGCTACACCACGCCGTATCCGAAGTGCCTCACCAAAGAGCAGGGGGACTACGTCCTTCGGGAAGTCCACAGCGAGGTCTGCGGTGATCATTCAGGGTCCCGGTCGCTGGCACACAAGGTCTTCCGGCATGGGTACTTCTGGCCGACCTTACACCGAGATGCAAATGTGTTACTCAAGAAGTGCGACAAATGCCAATTTTCCGGTAGTGTCCCTCACATCCCTGCCGAGCCTCTCTCACCAATCGTAAGCCCATGGCCTTTCGCCCAGTGGGGTCTAGACTTGATCGGTCCGATACCGCAAGGTAAGGGCCAGGTCAAATACGCTGTTGTCGCCGTAGACTACTTCACCAAGTAGGTAGAAGCCGAAGCCTTGGCAACGATAACGGCAGCCAAAATGGAAGATTTCATCTGGACGAACATTTGTTGCCGATTCGGAATCCCCTACGCCATCATCATCAATAACGGCATGCAATTTTATTCGAACGCCTTTAGGTAGTTCTGCACTCGCCTCAAGATCAATCTGTTCTTTGCTTTGCCAGCTCACCCCCAATCGAACGATCAGGTCAAAGCGATGAACAAAATAGTCAAGAAGCTATTGAAACGGCAGCTTGACAAGGCTAAAGGAGCCTGGCCGAAGAAGCTTCCAGAGGGATTATGGGCCATTAGGACATCCTACCGAACGGCAACCGGGGAAACACTGTTCTCCATGGCCTTTGGCTCGAAAGCGGTAGTCCTAGTGGAAATTGGAGAACCCTCCTACCGAACGAAAACTTTCGCCCCAAAGGCGAATGAGGAGGCATTTGCCTTAAGCCTCGACCTGATCGAAGAACGCCGAGCGCAAGCCAACCTTCGGAACGAAGCTTACAAACAGCATGTCTCTCGGTACTACGACTCTAGGGTCAGATCCCGCTCGTTCTGAGTCGGAGATTGGGTCATGCGAAAAGTCTCTCTGGCAACTAAGAATCCCACGGAAGGAACCCTCCGACCTTCCTGGGAAGGACCTTACGAGATCATCGGTATCCAGCGATCGGGGACTTATCGGCTTAGAGACTCCAACGGAAAGACCCTCGGTCATCCTTGGAATGTAGAACATTTGAAATATTATTTTCAATGATGTAACCTAGCCTACGGTAGGTCGAAATTGTATTTGAGAAAGCCCACGGCTTATTCTTACTCACAGCCTTCGGCAGTATCGAGTTCCCTAGCCTACGGTAGTTTTTCAATTGTAAAATGAACTCCAAATGTATCTTTGCCTTCGGCAATTATTAATGAAAAGGCCTTCGGCCCATATACTTACAACCTTCGGTGTGTTCATTAACTTCTTTCCGTTTCAAAGATATGGTAGAGACCATCGGTCGCAGTAAGGAACCACAGTATTCTTTCCTACCGATCAAAGGTTAACTTGTCTTTGACTAAGCCTATTAACGATTTGAAGATCACCTTATTTAGCCTTCGGCACTTTAAAGGTTCACTTCAGAGTTATTCTATTACTAGCCCTTGGCAGTAAAGTGTTAAGCCCTAAGTTGCTTACCGATTCAAGGTTCACTCAAAATTTGAACTTATATTAGCCTTCGACAGTTAAGTCAATCATTCTGCCTTCGGCAATTATAATGATTAGTTTTGAACTTCGGAAGTTAGCTTGTTATTGGCCTACGGCTGATGAACTTTTATCTAGCCCTCGGCATTTAAAAAGTTCCTAGGACAAGTTAAAGCAGAAACATGCCGAAAGTAAAACTACTTTGACAGTTAAATTAGAAAATTAAAACTGCTTGAATTAAAAGATGCCCTCGGCATCAAGGTGTTCAGAACATATTGCCTTATAGCAGTTACATGAAATAAAACTTAAACAAGGCTCAAGCGGCAGTCTCCTCCTCGGCATCAGGGGCGTCCTCCCCTTTGTACTCTTCTATCATCTCTTAGAGCTCAACCAGCTTTAGTTGAAAATGAGAAGAAGCTTTTGGAGAAGATTAGCATTCTGTCAAGTAGTGGCCTCCTCGGCATCGGCAGTGGCCTCCTCGGTAGGAGTCTCTTCTGGGGCATCCTCCCCCTCGTAGTCCTCGATCATCTCTTCAGTTATGCCTTCAGGAAGACGGGGAGGATCGGCAATGAAGTTGAGGTTGAGTTTTTGTCCGGGGTTGTACCGCTTGAAACAGTAGAGCAGATTCCCCATTTCCGAGCCCACCTCCTTGTCCAGCAAGGTAGAGAACTCGAAAGACTAAAGGTACCCCCGGATTGCCTCCTGGACTGCAGCCTCGATCTCCAGAGCCTCCCTTGTGGTTAGCTGCGCCGACTCTAGGGTTGCCGACATCTCACCAAACTTGGCTTCATAAACCTTGACTTGCCGTTCGGCAACCTGCATGTCCTTCGCCAAGTTCGCATGAGGTTGGATAGCCTTGCCAGCCTCGGCAACCCTAGCCCTGCCGTCTTCATAAGCCTTCTTCGCCTTTTCGGCGGCATTGATGGCTCGCTTTACGCACAGCCACATGTCCATTGAAGCCTGGGAAGCAAAGGAAAATGTTAGATAAGGCTGGAAGCAAACGATAAGGCACGGCTAGCCTCCTCCCGAAGGAGCTTCTTCAGCAGTTCCTCGATCTCGGACAGCTCCATTTGCGAACCAATGATCATGTAGTTCGCAAATTGGACCGTCTTCGATGAACAAGCCAAAGTGACAGGTTCGGCAGGCGCATCGTCGTCTTCAGCACCGAAGATGGCCCGATCAGGTTCAGTCTGTCGCCCGCGTTTTGGGGCGGGATCGGCATCTAGATTGATGGTGAATGGGCGCTTGCCGGCCGCTTTAGAGGAGGTGCCCTCAGTAGGCACACCTCGGCTAGGATACGGACTGGCCGCCGTCGCTCCGGCCTGCGCTAAGCCAGCGTTGAGCTGACGACGACGCTCGTTGAGGGTTTGGTCTTAAGGGTCGACTCCTCCCGATGACGTTGGTACCGCTTCTGGCTGCCGGCTCTTCTTCTTCTTCCCTTGGAGGCCGAGCATAAGGTGCCGCTTGGACGACTCATTCATCCTCTTCGCCTCGGCAGCCCTCCTCTCTTCCGTCACTACAAAACCAAGATCGGTAAGAATTCTCATTATGGCAATAAGCTGAGTAAAAATGGACAAGTACACTTACTCTTGGCAGGATTGACGAGTTGAGCCTTGATGACATTGGGGGTAAAGAAGAACTTCGGGTAAACTCTCTCCACGGTAGGGACCTTCAGCCTTACCCTCTCGATCTGCCGGATCTCCGCTTGTGTGGCACTCGGCTGCACAAACAGGAAACAGAATTAAAACTCCCGAGGGACGCCTGCACAACAGAAGACCTACCGAACGGTACGATGGTCTACCGGCTATTTGGAAAGTGGTGGGGATGTGGAAACGGACGGGATGTCCCAATGGCGATTCCCAATCACCTGACAAGAGCACCCGCCGTTTCTTCCACGTTTTCTGGGATGTTGGCACGGCACTGACAAAATGGTCGCGCTCGATAGCCTTCAGGCAGTTAGCCTGAACCCAACCACCGTGGTTGGTAGACTTCAACTTGGTGACACTGTACAGATGGGAGAACTGTTCGTATGAAGGCGCTCCCTCGCCAGCCAGGATGAAGGCCGTGACCACTCCCATTAACGCCACCCAGAAGTTGGGGTTGAATTGGCCGGGAGCATAGCCGATCTGTGCCAAGATCCTCTGAACGGCAGGCTGCAACGGAAGCCTCACCCCTTGAAGAAGATGACTTCACCCTCCTTCGGCTTACTTAGAGATTCGGTTGCCGTTGGGTTCCTCATCCCTACCGAATCTGGTATGAAATACTCGGCGCGATATTTCGCGATCTCCCGCTCGGTAATCCTGTTGGGCTCTAGGTAATCTACGCCGAATAGGTGCTCCTTTGGAACTCCTATCGGCACCCTAGGATTGCTGGGAAAGACTACCGATACCCTCGGCCGAGAAGATGGTTCGGCGGCTGACTCTTCATGGCCGGAAGTGGAGGCCTCTGACTGGCGACCAGCGCTCGTCTCCCCAGGCAAGGCTTGACCAACGTGGCGACCGTCGCTATAGACAATAAACAACGGTACCGGTGTAGTCATTAGCCCATTCCCGATGCCGTGTGAAGGAACGGAGCTGGGGCCTTCACCGAGTATCTCAACATCAGTATGACTTCTGTGCCTGGCATTGGGGCCTACCGCTTTACTGTCGGAGTCAAAGAGACCATCCGATGACTCATTACCGAACGCATTGGGCTCACGCTCGGAAAGTGACTCACTATCAGACATCTACAAAAACAAGGAAAAAGGAAACTAAGGCTCATGCCGGATACTAGCCTACCGATTCCTGCATCGCTACCTATGGCGATTAGACTACCGAATGGAACCCTATGGTCAGTCTAGTTCAAACCAAGGAAGGACGTAACGCTAGTTAAGTAAGAGAGTAAATTGAGGGTGCCGAACGGTACCTTATGTCAAGCTCTGGATAAAGACCACAAGCTATGTTACCGATCGCCTTGACAGAAATCGCCTTTCACCACAAGCTATATTTATGACCGATCGCAACGCAGAAAATTGCCTGGTCTACCGTTAGCTCTCGTCAGAAATCGCCTCAAATGCAAAGTGAATTCCTCTCCGGGGTCACCCCTATTTATAGGGAGAAGGTTCGCCACACGGTACACCTCAAAAAACCAAACGGCGCATTAATGCGCCGCGCCTCATGATTATTTTCGCCACGTGTCGCTCATCCTATGGAGGACTGACGGCACGCGAGGCACAGAAGACAAAGCGCCCAAGCATCCCTTCACACGTCAACTCGACGCGACCTTCCGACTTCCCCGACGTCAGCCTCTGAATGAACATGGACGGAAGGGCCAAAGTTGAGCCCCTCCACTGTTTGTGCCTAATAAAACACGGTCATGAACTTATTGAAGGGACTTCCCTTCGGCCCTGGCGCCTACCGTTTCGTCAAGCATTTCGCCCTCCTAAGAGCAAAAGAAAAGCTGAAAAGGCAGAATCCCCTTGGCCTTACGAACGCAGTGTTGAAAGCCGAGGTCGAAGGCCGCAAAAACACGGTCTGAAAAAGCTGTGGTTGAATCGCCACGTGGCCTCAGGGCCCTACGCTCCATTTAATGAAGTAATGCCTCTGACTTCGCAGCAAAACCCACTAGTCATAAGAAGCATTCAATGCACGAGGGAAGTGACTGAAGTCAAGATTTGGTGATGGGAATCAGGGTGGTTAGGCGCAGACATTCTCACAAGTAATCTTACGATTTAGGGTCAGATCATCAACCACCAGTCCAGGGCATTAAATGCGTTCCCACGGCCAAGGGGGCAAAACCCACGATCGGGGCGGTGGCCGAGATTTGCCGAGATTTATGGGGGTCACACCACCATGCTTCTCAACCCTAGACCACCATGCTTCACGATCCCAAATGCCGATTTGACTACCCACTTGCCTCGGCCAGGCTCTACCATGCAGGTCTTGTTAGCCTCGAATGTCCCTCTAGGACTCCTATAAATACTAAGCTTAGGACTACATTCAAAGGGTTCAAACACCAAAACTGAAAGCCTCCCACGAAGCAAATTATATTTTCCTGTAATGCAGTTTCAATACCTTTATTTGCTTTCTTAGGAGTAGTGGTAGACTGTAAGGAAAATCCATTCATCAATATATCATATGACCCTTGATTTTCAAGGCGCTGGAGCACCATCTCTGTTATCGCCTCACTCACCCCATATATCATACGACCGTCGCTCTTTGAGCAACGCGCCGGAGCACCGCCTAAAACCCACCACCAACACCACCACTAAACGGCCTTGTAGCTCAGGCCGTGAACCTGACGGCCGAGATTCGTTCCTCACTCGGCCACAATCGTTTGATTAGGAGTCGAACCATCTTCTACCCGAACCTCATCATCATCTCGACGCACGGTAGACCGTGCTGGCACGCCCGCGCACAACCGCACCGCATCCAAAAGAAGGACGTCACGTGTTGACGCGCATCCCCTCGGCCCGGAGCACCAGGCCGCAAGATTTGCGACGGACCAACATCCACCAGCGGTCCGATAACGACGGATCACACGGCCGAGTCCATGGGAGAGCAAGCCGTCGTCGAAGATCTGATGGCGAAGTAGGCCTACAGGATCGAAACATCCTTCATGGCCGCAATGGACAGATTCTCCTCGGAGCTACAAATGCTATTTCAGGAGATGATGCCGGTGACATCGTCCGCAACGCCTCCCAGAGCCGGGCAGAGAGGCCAAGAGTGCGAGAGGTTCGAGCCCCACGGCGAAAGCAGCAGCCTCGGCGTCTCTGGCCGCACCCAAGCGCCAAATTACAGCCAGCATGCGCAATATGCGATATCCGTTCGAGGCTCTAACGGTATCCAAATTTAGATCTGCGAAATCCTACGTGCTCGTGACATCAAGGGGATCGCATTGGGACAAAAATGCCCCAAGCTACAGTGCCCACGCGCCGGCAGCGCTTAGGTGTCCAAAGCGATATCGCATCGCCGGAAAACTTCCAAATCGAGAGCCAGGACTCCTACCTTAGGTAATACACCTAATTTGGAGTCACTTTTGTTCTTGGACGTACCCCAAAAACTGACAGGAAGTGGCCAGAATCGCGATCGCAAAACCGGCCGAACCCTAACTCAAAATTCAAGCTACCTACTCTCAAAATCAATGCAATCCTACCCAACCATCAGCTAGATCATGCAGAAGGGATGAATTTCCGGAGAACGAAGCCGGCGAAGTTTCGAGCGAAAACTGGTTTTTTCCCTTCGATTTTCCGGCAAAACTACGGCAGCTGGCGTTGGGACCTGGCTGGGGTAGGAAGAGGACGGCGGCCCGGTCATTTTGGTACCGGCCCCGTCGAGTTTGGTGGCCGGACGAGAGCAGGGCCGGCCAAAACGTGGCCGGCTGCTACAGCCGTCGCGAACCAGAGGAGAAAGAGAGCTCGCGGGAGAGAGAGAGGGTTTTCAGATTTTATTAAAAACCCATTTTGAAATATTTACGATTATGCCACTGAGGATATTTTGATCGTATCTCTCTTGTAACAACTCTGATTCGAGCCCACTACGTGTGTACGGACTCATCTCACCGCGCTCTATACAACGGTATTGTTGAAATTTCCAAATTCCATCCCGATCAAAAAGTCAACTCTAAACCTCACAAAATATTTTAGGGGCAAAATGGTCCTTTTATCTGAATAAATTAATATTCACCAATTTATTTAGGACCGGCTCGTTACACCGAGGGCCCCGGCGACCTTCTCTTTGATCACGAGGCCGAGGATGACCTTGCGTTGGGAATCTCCGATGACGACTACGATGGGATCCTCGGAATGATTGAGGGAAAAACCCTCGCCAGTGGCGGCCACGAGTTCAACAAAGAGGCTGGTAGGGGAAACCAGCGGAAGCCAAAAGAGGTCAGCATGAACATGGTTTTGGTACTACTGGCCGAGTTTTCGGCTCCAAAAGGCTAGACCAACGGCCTGGATAATGACATGGCAGAGGACTAGATTGATCAAAGGCCAAAGACAAAGGAAGAATTGTTGGCTGTGGCTTTTAACGAGGTAATACCCAAAGACGAGCCGAACAAGTACCGACATCTCAAACCGCTATACATCTCGGCTCATGTGAAGGGTGTGCCCGTGTCCAAGGTCTTCGTTGACTGTGGGGCGACAGTCAACATCCTTCCCTATTCCCTGATGAAGAAGCTGGATAAGTCAAAGGAAGATCTCATCCCCAGCGATGTGGTCATGAGCAGCTTTGTCGACGATAAATCTAAGACTATCGGGGTATTGCCGTTAAAAATCACCGTGGCCGACCAGACCAGAGTCGCGGCCTTCTACGTGGTCAAATCCAGCATGGACTACAATATATTGCTCGGTCATGACTGGATCCATCAGTCTGGATGCATACCGTCCTCCCTTTTCCAACTGTTGTTCTTCTGGGATGGCCAGAGGGTGTCCATACACCCGGCCTGATTTACGACGACGACATTGGATGGGTTGTCCTCACCGGCCACGATGAAAGCGGCCGGCCAACCAGGACAATGGCCCAGAAAGTGCTGGAGTTAGGCGCCGAGAGTGTTCGACAGGATTCGGCACGCGAAGTATTGATCGACCTCACTGACCTGTAGATGACAGACAAAGCCACTAGAGAGGAGGGGGCGGCCGTGACCGACCTGCTGGAAAGACTGCTGGAACATTGGGCAGAAGAATCCTTACAGCCAAACTTGCCGATCAACCTAATCGAATTCCTCCATGAGTCGGATGAGGCGGACACTTTGGCCTTTGACGACTTGGGAACGGCGCCCGCCGAGATGGAGGATGACTACCCCGAGGTCCAGGACCCGTTATTAGAAATAAATATGGGAACCGAGCCTGAACCACGACCTCTTTTTGTAAGCCAGTTTTTGAGCCCTGAATTAGCCGCCGAGATCATCGGCTTGCTTCATGAATATAAGGATTGTTTTGCTTGGGATTATCATGAGATGCCTGGATTACCAACGAGGTCGAAGCGACCGAAACTGACTGGCGCTACCCCATAGTGAAGTATCTGCGCGAGCCCTCCGACAACCACGAAAGGACTACTCGCTTTCGAGCTCGATGTTATTTAATTTATCAGAACGAGCTGTACCGAAAAGGGTCGGACAGTTTATTGCTCCTATGCCCCAGTGCCGAAGATATCAAGGTTATCATGGCCGAATCCCACAAAGGGATTTGCGGCGCTCACCAGTCCGGCGTTAAGATGAGATGGTTGGTCCGGAGGCACGGCTATTATTGGCCGAACATTTTAAAGAACTGCATAGAATATGCGAATGGGTGCATCAAGTGTCAAATCTACGGCCCCATACAAAGGGTACCGGCCGACGCCCTCCACCCAGTTACTAAGCCTTGGCCGTTCAGAGGATGGGCCGTGGATATCATCGGCAAAATCTACCCGGCCGCGTCCAACCAGCACGCCTGGGTTTTGGTCGCAACTGACTATTTCACTAAATGTTCGGTCTCTCCGTGTGACCGAACGACCTAGGCAGGAAGAGAAGGACTATGCGCAGGCCATGGCTCAGGAGTCAGAAGATTTGGAGCAATCCAGGCTCGACGCCTATAACCTAATGCAGCCACAAAAGCAGGTCGCGGCGAGGTCCTACAACAAAAAGGTGAAGCAAAGGACTTTCGCCGAAGGCTACTTGGTATGGCGTGCCGTACTTCCTATCGAAACTAAGGACCCTCGGTTCGGCAAATTCTCACCCAATTAGGAAGGCCGTTTATTATCGATCGAATCCTTGGCCGAGGCGCATTTCAGTTAAGAGATAGGGATGGGGAACGGCACAACTTGCCAATAAACGGCCAATATTTGAAGAAATATGCCCCGTCATTATGGGAGATGGTCGAGAATGGGTTATGAGGTTTTGCAATCGGCAAAGATAAACCATACATTCGGTCAGAAGAAAAAGGGGTTATACTTCATTTATATTAAAAGAACGGAGGCACGGTTACAAAAAGAACGGTCGGTCATGGTCGAATGGAACATATAAGCATACATATGCAAAAAGTGGAATACATCCTAGATCTATGAACGACCGCTTCTTGATCCCCTTGCTAGAACAGGTAGATGATTCTTCCCTAGGCGGTCCCTCCACCGCCCACGGTTTCACTAGCCGCGACTGAAGGCAGGGCCGTCACTCTAGACATGGGTAAGACCGGGTCGCAATCAAGGCCATCATTCAGGGCCGCCACTCGGGACATGGGTGCAGCCGGCTAAAATCTGGGCCGTCTTTCCAACCATGGGTGCAGACGCCACTCTAGCCATGGGTGGGACCAGGTCGCAATCAAGGCCGTCAATCGGGACACGAGTGCAGCCGACTAAAATCAGGGCCGTCATTCCAACCATGGGTGCGGACGTCACTCGGGCCATGGATAAGACCAGGTCGCGATCAAGGCCGTCGCTCTGGCCCTAGCCAGGGCCGTCATTCTGGACACAACTGTGGCTGGGTGAAACTAGGGCCGTCACCCCGGTCATGGATGCAACCAAGGTGCTAGGCCAAGCGGACATGGCCAAGTTGGAATCGTCATACCAGGCCCTTCCATCTTCATTGATCGCATTACGGTCTCTCCGCGGCCTCATACGAAGGAAGGTCATTCTCCCCCAGGGCTGGGAAGGAATCTCGGCCACACCATGGCTTTGTCCAGAACGAAGGATAGTTGTTGGACAGAAGGAGGGAGAAAACCATCTGGATCAGGCCACGATGCAGGGGTCCGTGGATATCGCTCAGCCTTGGTTCTGGAGAAGCTACAAGGGGGAGACCACTGGAGCAGGTTGGAATGAAGGAGAAGGAGTGAAAAGAAATTAAGAAGGCCAGGCTTTTATATTGACATGAGTATGAAACGAAAGGGCATGGGTCTCTCGAGAGACGGAGCGGTCTGACTGCACGTTCGCAGGTGCGATGACGTGGCGAAAGCTCGGAAACCGTCGTTCCATTTAACGAGACAAACGGCGGTTTGCACAATGATGGCCTGCGAGACGTGCTTGCGCATTTAATGCGCCGATTGACCTACGCATTTAAAGCACCAACTGTCAATCACTTCAAGGGGAATGCAAAGGGTCCATCCCTTGGAATCCTTTCGACCTCTGCCCAGGCCGCGACCGAAGAATCCAGGGATGTGGGGGCAATGTTTGTGCCTAATAAAACACGGTCATGAACTGATTAAAGGGACTTCCCTTCGGCCCTGGCGCCTACCGTTTTGTCAAGCATTCGCCCTCCTAAGAGCAAAAGAAAAGCTACAAAGGCAGAATCCCCTCGCCTACCGTTTCGACAAGTAATCTTATGACTTAGGGTCAGATCATCAACCACCAGTCCAAGGCATTAAATGCGTTCCCACGGCCAAGGGGGCAGAACCCACTATCAAGGCGGTGGCCGAGATTTATGGGGGTCACACCACCATGCTTCTCAACCCTAGACCACCATGCTTCACGATCCCAAATGCCGATTTGACTATCCACTTGCCCCGGCCAGGCTCCACCACGCAGGTCTTGTCAGCCTCGAATGTCCCTCCAGGACTCCTATAAATACTAAGCTTAGGACTACATTCGAAGGGTTCAAACACCAAAACCGAAAGCCTCCCACGGAGCAAATTATATTTTCCTGTAATGCACTTTCAATACCTTTATTTGCTTTCTTAGGAATAGTGGTAGACTGTAAGGAAAATCCATTCATCAATATATCATACGACCTTGATTTTCAAGGCGCCAGAGCACCATCTCTGTTATCGCCTCACTTGCCCCATATATCATACGACCGTCGCTCTCTAAGCAACGCGCCAGAGCACTGCCTAAAACCCACCACCAACACCACCACTAAACGGCCTTATAGCTCAGGCCGTGAACCTGACGGCCGAGATTCGTTCCTCACTCGGCCACAATCGTTTGATTAGGAGTCGAACGCAAAACAGACGCAACATTTAAACCATCTTCTACCCGAACCTCATCATCATCTGGATGCACGGTAGACCGTGCTGGCATGCCTGCGCACAACCGCACCGCATCCAAAAGAAGGACGTCATGTGTTGACGCGCATCCCCTCGGCCCGGAGCACCAAGCCGCGAGATTTGCGACGGACCAACATCCACCAGTTGGATTACCGAACGGTAGGACAACATTTCCTTCCGAAGGCAATTTCAAGTCCCTTTCCGAGAACTCTCACAAGAGAACTTGGGGGACTCCTGTTTATACCAAAATGAACAGCCAATAAGCATCGGACACGTGAACCAAACTAGAGCTATGGAAGCCTTCGGCACCTAGCTTCAGTTTGGGTTTCTGAATACAGAATCATATGTTTGGGTTTGGGTTTGGGTTACAAAATCGTGATGTCTAACTAATTCACCAATCCTCTCAGGTACTTCTCTTTCTCATGATTTTGTGCATTTTGTGACATTTGACATTTAATAGGCTCAAGAAAAAAGCTTTTGATTATCTTTTAATTATACATTTATTTCTCTTCCTTCTCTCCAGTTTTCAGTTCTTTTGGTTTGGTTTTTTATGAAGCTTTGGTTTGATGCCTTCTTTTTATCCCTCTTTTTGGTTTTCTTTTATTTCTCAGGGGATCCATTTGCTACAGGATTTAAAATAGAGTCTGAGGGAGGAAAAGGGAGGAAAGGTTTTTCTGTTTTTTTAAAAAAAAAAATTATACTTCAAGTTTTCTTTTGCTACTGGCTTCATGAATTATCAAACCCACGATAATTGTTGTGCAGGAGTTATTGTTCTCTCATCGTTGTTGTAGATAGATCGGCTGCACGTGTGGGTCTTCAACTTCTTGAGGTTTATCAGCCTTGAAATTTAGTTATATTCATAAAAAATTATGTGTTGTTTTAAATGTTGTTTGTTTCCTAACAACAATGAGATCAAAGAATTTGTTTGACTACAACAGTTGAAATGATCATTTGTTCTTTGCTGAGAAACAAAAGGAAGAAAATGAAACAAAAATAATAAAAGAAAAAAAAAGAAAAAAAAAAAGAGGAGAAATTTATTTAACACGGTAAATTTGGTATATTTCCAATCCAGAGGTTTAACCATCAATACAACACAGGCTTCAAATAAGTTTCCACGTCAGAGCAATTGCAAATGCCACGACATGGGCTCACACTCGCATAGGAGGAATTCCAGGAGAAATTTAACTTAGGCCCCGTTTGGGATTGCTTTTTTTTGCTAAAAACCTGCTTCACTTTAAAGTTAAGCAGTTTTAGGTGTTTGGTAAAAATAAAATATCTCGATTATTTTAAAAGCAGTGGCCTTTTGACAGCAGCTTTTAAAAGCAGGCTATGGGTTGCTTTTCAAAGCTGCTTTCAAAAGAAGCAGAGATGAAACCTTAATGAATTTTTTTAATTCCCAAAATACTATCATTCATTTTAAAAAATAACACCACCTCCACTTCCACATCCAACTCCACCACTTACACCACCACATTCACTACCTCCACAACCACCGCCATCGCCACCGCCACCACCACCACCACCACCTCCTCCACCACCACCACCACCAACTCCACCTTCACCTCCACCACCACCACCACCACAACCACCACCTTTTTCAAAACCTCCACATCCACCATCACCTCCACAACCAACACCACCACCACCACCATGCTGCCACCTCCACCACCATGTTGTCACTACCACCACCTCCACAAGCGCCATCCCTACCACCACCACCTCCACTCCATCACTACTACTACTACCACATGATTAGTACATAACACTTTTAACATCATGTCTATTTTAGTCATTATTCACAATTACAACAATTTTATATTAAAACTTACCAAACGGTTTTGACACTGGTTTTTGTACTAACAGCACTTTAAAAATATTGTTTACCAAACACGGAGCTGCTTTACTTTACAGCTAATTATTTTCAAAGCACAGCAGAAGCAACTTTTTTTAAAAGTGACAGGAATCCCAAACTGGGCCTTAATGATTATCAAGTCTTCAAATAAGTTTTATTGATGAATAAAAAGCAAACTCGCATTATCGCATAGGAGCAATTGCGAATGCCACTACAACAGTTTACATGCGATAAAAGAAAAAAAGAAACTGTTGAGACACATCTAGAAATTTCTTATTAATTATTTTATTATTAAACTTGGCTTTTTATATAGAAGGGATTTTTCTTTTGTCTCTTGACTTTTGAAAATGACATTATTTTTGGTACAGTTTTCTTCCGATAATTAGAGTAGACATGTAGTAAAATATAAACTATCAAAATTGAAGGTGAGTATACGTGTTCCCAAATTATGCTAAAATTTGTCAATTACAAATTTAAAAGTATATGTTTAAAAATTTGGTCTCATGTTTTGTTACTTATGTATATATTGACAATGAAAAAGTGAAAGATCAATTAGAGAGGAACAGGTGGAGCAAAGTGGTTTTTATCATTGCATGTCTTCCTCCTATGTGCATATTATGTAAATATTTATGTCCATAATCTAAAACTACGATGCTGTGTAGAATGAAAATATTATTTTACTTAAATTATTTGAGATTTTCCTATTAATGTTGGATTTGCTTTGGATAATATTAACGTGTGGGTAATTAATTGAATAAGAATTCCCCTAGCTCCTAAAGTTCATTAGAATAGCTCCCTGCACGCACTTCCGCGCGTGCGAGAGGCTTTTCTTTTAATCACGCGCGCTACGCGCGACTTACAAAGTTTCGTAATTTTTTTTCGCAATTGTATTTGATAGGAGCATATTTATGCGACTTTGCTATCTTATTTCTTTGCATTTACTTAGTTAATTCCCATTTATTAGAGTGATTTAGCTTATTTTCGTACTATTGTAGGTCCAAATGGCAAGAAATGGCATTTTGGAGCATTTTAGAGCAGTTTTGGACTTGGAATGGATAGCATATTCATGGCCCAAGATGGATGGACGTTTTTGAAGTTCGAAGAGGCTAGGAATGTGCTAAAAAGATGGGGAAATTAATTCAAGAATCAGCTTCTGGGAAGTAAAAAACTCTAACTGATTTTATTTTATTTTACCTTATCCTAATCCTATTCGACCTAAATTCCAGTTGGAAAAGGAGGGGATTAATTTCATATTAGGAAACCTAAAAACCCTAATTTTGTGGTTTTCTGTTGGGCCCTATCCTTGTTCCTAAAGAAATCTGCCAAACAAAACCCTAATTTTGTGGGTTTCTACTGGGCCCTTTTACCCTAGATCTACCACATATATAAAGGAGGGGTTGCCGTAGGAGAAGGGGGTTCTTTTGGTGCCGTAGCAAGAAAGGAGAAAGGGAGAAGAAGAACTTGGAGCCGGAACCTACTGCATCCATTGGGTTTTTCAAAGTTCTTCCCTTGATTAGTTCAAATGTTTATTCTAGATTGCTTTTCAATTATTATGAACATGTGTAACTGAATTTCTTCTTAGTTAGAGGTGAATTCGAAGCCATGGGCATATGTTTTACATGAATTGATTACTTCCAGTTATGGTTTCATAAAGTATGAATGTGATTTACTTTTCTGTTTTATTGAGGACTTATTCTTGCATGTTTATTAAGGATGCATACTTAGTTTGTATGCAGGGATTTGATGCTAGAATATAAGGGAATTTCACCTAATCGTTATGAACTTATATTCACAAGTAGTAAAAGTCACTAGTTACGATTGCGTTAAGTAAATTCTTGGCAGGAGTATCATGCTTTTCATAGTTACAATTGCCTTGTCAAGGCTTATGATTTTCATAGAACTTAATGATCTTTGATATGTATCTCTATCATGCTGTTCATATAGGGAACTTGATAAGGATAATTTGATTGCGTCGCTGAGTCCAATTCAATGAACTTAGGAAAATCTGAGAGTTAATTAGTGCATTCACAATTAATTTGGGGCTTTGTCATTCATACTTTATAGAAAGAGTAACTGGAGATCGATTTGTGTGCATATGTTCCATGTGTGGAGAAGAATCCTCTAGCTATCCCTTAATCCATATTTCATTCACAACTTAGTTGTTTGCTGCTGTCAGTTTTACTTTAGTCTAAATCGTCCAAATTCCCCCCAATCATTGTTCCCTTAACTTAGTTTCCAGTTTAATAAGTTTAATTTGTGTTGATTAGCATCCCTCCTAATCCCCGGAATAGAACGATCCCTACTTACTCGTACTACGATTGCATGATTTATAGGGTTTAATTTGTGCGTTAGTTATTTCTCACGCCAAATTTTGGCGCCGTTGCCGGGGATTAGCAAAATTGCACGTGATTAAAATATGAAACTGTTGAAACGAACATCTATATAAATACAATTGTGAAAAAAAAATTACGAAACTTTGTAAGTCGCGCGTAGCGTGCGTGATTAAAAAAAAGCATCTCGCATGCGCGGAAGCGCGTGCAGGGAGGCTAGTAAAGTATAAGGTAGAGATTGATGAAACATTCAAAAATCCCAAAAATACTGTTGGCAAACTAAAATTTTAAAATGCACCGATTTTAATTAAAGCGGGTATAATTGTAAGAGAAGAATTACGCAGAACTTTAAAAAAAAATTAAAAAGAACAGAAAAAAGGTACAGACCCCACTTCACAGCAGTTGCTCTTCTTATCAGTTTCTTCTGCAACGTTCTATTGAAATAGGAATCGGATGGAAGCAAAACTGAAACCGTCCAAAACCCACCATGGCCCTCAAACTTGGAAACGCATTTCCTTCCCTCCCATGTTTCGCGGAGCAAGAATCCTCATCTACTCACTGCATAAAAAGGTTTGAGGTTTTTTTTTCTTTTTTTTCTAGGTTCGTTTCTTCATTTGTGATGTCGAAAATTGAGAAGTAAATCATAAATTGAGTTTGGTTTGTTGTTACGGGGAGGAAGATTGAAGGAAAAAGAACTGGAGCAATCAATATTGGAACCCCCAGTCTGCTCATCAATCTGGTAGTTCATGTCTTTGTGTGGCTGATTTTCTCTTTGCCTGTTCACCGGGAAGATCACAGCGCGGAAACTCCAGAGAGGATGCCCCAATGACTGACCAGATTGATGATGATGGCTATGAGGTTTAGTTATACAAATCATGCTTCTGACTTGAATGACCTTTTACATGAACTTCTTGAGTAAATTTCTTCAAGCTTTTCTCATTTTACATGAATTTCATGTGCAGGATGATGATGACCAAGAAGCCGAGTTTGAGATGTTCAGGGAACACTCAGGGAGTGGGTTACAAGAGATGAAGTGCAAAGATTTATAGCCAAGAAGTTCAAAGAATTTCTGCTCACCTTTGTGAATGACATTGAATATGTGCGCCTCATTAATGAGATGGTATTAGGTAAGGGCTTAGCTTTATTTAACCGGCTCTTATGCTCTGTTAACTGTACATTGGCCATTTGTATTTTTTATCTCAATGTGTTGTGCAAGCAGCAAGCTGCAAGCTACATAATGCCTCGGATCTTTAATTTGAATTTTGAATCAATTCACTGTTGCATTTTGTAGCCAATAAGTGTAGTCTGGAGATTGATTAGAAGCAATTCATCGGTACTCATCCCAATATTGCCATTTGATTGGCTGATGCTCCCCAGTTTGTCCTGGAAGTCATGGAAGATGTTGCCAAGAATGTGGTGTTTAGTTTACACCCCAATCACTAACGTATCCATCAAAAGATCTATGTTAGGATAACCAACTTACCTGTTTACGATCGGATTCACAACATTCTGTATTGTGGAGATTTTTTTTCTTACCTTTTTCCTTTGAGGTGTAAATGTCATCCTGCTCTTATGGTGTGCAGGCAGATCCATTTGAATACCATGATTCGTATTGGAGGCGTTGTGACCCGACGCTCCGGGGTCTTTCCCCAATTGCAAGAAGTAAAGTACGATTGCAATAAATGTGGGGCAATTTTGGGGCCATTCCTTCAGAAATCTTATTCAGAAGTTAAAGTTGGTTCTTGCCCTGAATGCCAATCAAAAGGACCATTCAGAGTCAATATTGAGCAGGTAAGTTTTACAAATTTACATACATTTGCCTTCAGTTTTCTTTTTGGCTGGAAAAATCTGAAGAGAAGAAAGGGAATTAACATTGAATGTTGTGGAGGCTGTTATGGGAACTTATAATTAATATTGCACCTCAATTATGCTAGAATAGGTTGAAAATGGTTTTTATTTTTCTTCCAGTTTTTGTTACTCCAGTATTATGTTTTTGGCCGCCTTTATATTATTGTATGGTTTCTGAGAAAAGGGATCAAATGAAAAAAAAAAACAATTTTTAGTTTTAGTTATCTGATAACCATTTCTCTTTCTCTTTAGTTTTAGCTTGCTCTAGTTGACACCCCGAACTATCACATCTTCCGTCTCGTTACCCTCTCTAATCTGTATAAGGCAGCAGTTCCTTTCAGTTTTTTTATGCTCTCATCTTCTTCTTCTTCACTTATTGAGGTCCAGTCATTAGTTCAAGAACCCGAAATTCAGAATTGCTTCAATGACTCCGGTTCCATGCTTTCTATTTAATAATGTTCAATCTGCAGAGTATCAACTCTTTAAATGGTACGAATCTCTCTCTCACACAAAGCTATCCCTAATTTATGTTTGATTGACTGAAACTTTGGTTAGGGTATAGGTCTGTGTTTATGTTTGTGTTTGTGTTTGTTATTATTTATGTGTTTGACTTATGAAATTAAAAAGTCTTTGGAATTTTATCTCAACAGATGGAATCGCCTCTCACCTCTCTCTCTCTGACGCATAAGGGTTCCATAAGTAGCAGAGGGAACTATATTTAAGGTTAATGATTCTTCATTTCATTGTATTTTGTATTTTAAGTTTCCAATCAGCATACATTAGTTTAGTTGGAAGATGATTTTTTTCCTATTGGGTTCTCTCAAAAGTTGTCCATTATTATACAATCCCTTTTTTCCCCCAAAATTAGACTTTTTAAAGGCTCTACTATAACTAGGTGTTCTGTTTTCTGCTGATAATTTGGGCCTCTAAATGTGCCTAACAAAGCCATGGCTTTATTTCCCTACGTTCATGTGTTAGTGAGAATCCACAATTTATATTTTTGTCTTTCTGGAAGACGCAGGTGACAAAGGAAAAAGAAAGCAAACAAATCACCCTTTGGGATACTTTTGGGTTGTTTCTGACTGGAATTGGGTGTTGGTTTACATTTGTTATTTGTTTACACTAACACTATTAGTTTCTTCTTTCTTTATGTTTATTTTTGTTAAGTGTCCAGGTCATTCTAGATCCAGATTCAGTTTCATATTGATGTAAAGTGTCCAGTTCAGGCAACAACTTCTATTTTTTATGTTACGAATAAGATTATGCTTAGATTTTTTCTTCTTCTTTTAATCTCAGGGGATTATTTTTTATACAAGAATTAAAAGCAAAATGAGGATCAGAGTTGGAGGGAGTTCAAGAGTAACATGAAAGCATAACAAAAGGGAAGCATCATGGTGACTCAACATAAGCACCAATCATGACTTCTTCGAGCAGTGAACCGAAGTTGCTCTTCTTCGTGGACAAGTCCAAAGGTGCCTCATTCATACCTTTGTTTTTTGTTTTTTGTTTTGAGTGACATAATTGCCTTTTTTCGCAGCTGATAATAACATATCTATAATGACACACTACGATAGACTTATTCTGAAACATAAGTCTATTGTTTTGATGGATTGTTTTAGTATTCTTAATATCTTGCCTCATATTAAGCTTTTTAGTTGTTTTGTGTGTGTGTGTGTGTTTTTTTTTTTTTTTTTTTTTTTTTGTGTGTGTGTGAATGCAGATCCAATTTGCTGCATGAGGCTTCCAAAGAAGATAGTAGCAAGAGAGCATAAAATTGCTGGAGGAGGAGGTTCATGTACAAGCAGTAGCTAAAAGGATTTCATGATCTTAATTTAATTGTCATGAACTTTTTGTTTTTTCGTTTCCTTTTTCAATGGTTGCAATACTAGCTTCAATTACTATATTTTGGTGTAAAGAGTTTTGTTTTAAATAAAGACTTATTCAATTGCATCTGTTCCAAATTCGGTTCAGTGGTTAACTATGATAATTGTTATCAATAAATACTTTCTTTTCAATATGATCAACTATGATAATTGATTTATTTTTTAATCCGCGCGCTACACGCTACTTACAAAGTTTCGTAAATATTTTTTCGCAATTGTATTCATTTAGATATCCGTTTCGACAGTTTCATATTTTAATCGCGAGCGTCTGATAAATCGTCGTCTTAAGAGTTTTCCTTTATCGCCTATATTTTTCTAGACGTCCATTTTAGTAGTTCACACAAGCTATAAAAAAATAAAAATAAAAAATTTTAAAAATGCTAAGATGGACGTCAGAAGAATAGCAGATGCATGAACCTTCAGTTTTTCATCTGAACTTGTTCTCCGGTGAGCTGTCTCTTCGTTTTCTTCAGTTTTTAGGGCTCTCTTATTGTGCGGCTGAGTAATAACACTACTAGAAAAATGCTCTATGGGGACCCTTTATTAGAGACCGATATAAAACAGTCTCTATAGAATGCTAAGAGACTGATAATAGAAACAGTCCCTATAAAATGTCATTGGATACGGATTAATAATTTTCATGACTAATGATTTGAATAAAGTAGAGAATAAAGCATGGAAAAACTGAAAACCGTGCCTAAAACCCTCCATCATTTCCAGTAAGGCACGAACCAACACAAAAGCATTGCCAACTAAAGACTATATGCATATACATTTCATTGACTACACCATTCATGCTAGGCTTACCACATTTTTCATACCACAATTGTACCACCTCTCTAATAGAGGTGGAGCCCACTAATACAATGGGGACCACCTCTATTAGAGAGGTGGTATAATTGTGGTATGAAAAATGTGGTAAGCCTAGCATTTTTGATTTTTTTTTATTCTTTTTTTTTTTGTACCCCTCTTTTGCCATCTAAAATTTTGACAGCGCTCAGATTTTGGTTTTCAATTTTCTTTTCTTTCCTAGCAAGTCATCGCTCTCGCTCTCACTCTCACTCGCAATCTCACTCCACACTCTATCGACCCTATCTCGTTCTCTCTCTCAACTCTCGATCCACCTCCTCCCTCCTCTCTCTCAATCTCACTCAGATCCTCTTCTCTCTCAGATCTCTCTGCCTCTCTGGGCTTTAATCAAAGGTATGAAAATCCCTAAGCTTTCGATGTTTGGGTGTTTCTGATTTGGTGTTTTTGGATTGGTTTAATTTATCGGCATTTGATATTTGGACTATTTTTGTTTTTCTGTTGCTGTATTTTTGGTTTTGATGTTATCGTTGCTAGTATAGGAAAGAGAAGCTTTGAAAGAAAAAGGGGAGAGAAATAAGAGGGAAGGTATTCTATTGTTCTGTTCTTGTGCATTTGATTTGTTACTGATTTTCTCTTTTATTGGCACCTGTGATTTTGTCTGTATTAAAACCATGGGTTGCATGAAGACAACTGTGGGGGGCTTTAGTTAATTAATTGCAACATATGCTACATATTTGGAACCATTGCAAATTAACAAGACATTAGTTTTGGGGTGATTCAATCAGGAACCAATTAATCTTTCAAAAGAAAAACAAAACTGAGAAGTGGGTTTTAGTCATAATGGAACCTTGGAATTTACATATATTGAAAGCAGAGTAGTCGTAGCTAGGCATCATTGTTTTACATGTGCATTTAAAATTTACCTAAGTAATTTTGTCATCATTGTTTTAATTACTAGCTAGCTTGAAATTTTGGTTTGCAGTCTAGGTCATCAGGGGATTCTATTGTCCATGTAGTGGTTGATGCCAAGTAACTCGTCCGTATATTACATATTGGCTCTGTGGATGTGCTTAAATAGGTTCGTAGTGCACTGCTCTTGGTTTGCTTTCATTCATTACAAATTGTGAATCCCATGGCTCTTCTTGTTTTGTACAATTAGACTTGATATTTGCAGCTGTTGAACTGGATCCTTAATGTTTTGGGAGCGTTTTTGTAGTTTTATCAATATAATCTCATCCCTAGTTGTCGATGTTTTATAAGCAGTATGCAATTTTGAGACCATCTGTAAGGTTTGAGTATAAGAGAGTGAGGCAGTTGTCTTGTCTCTTCCACTTTTAGTGGATAGACAATTGCCTAGTTGAAATTAACTGAAAACAATGTTCTAAAACAATTTCTTTCAAATTTTATATTTGGATATGTTGGTAGTTTTAAGAAGCAGAAGATGTCTGATTCATCAACCTGAATCAGTACAAGTCAAAATCCCCCCTCTCCACTTGTTTAATTTGTTTATGTATCATTGATTGCATTAATTCTTTCTGCTAGTCTAAACTTGTAATTGATTTATATATCTTATCATCATATCATGATGACTTAGACAAATTAGGTGCTGGTCTGGATGCTGACCTGCATTTTATAATTATCACATATAGATGTATTTTGTGTATCATTTGCTTAGTGTGGTGGCTATTAGAGTTGTTGTTACCTTGGGAAATTGATTGTTTTTATGCATATTTGGGCAGAGGAACTTACCCTTTTGTTCATGAATTCTCATGTCTGATTTTTCCCCCTTCATTACTTGTGAAAAATGTGTTTCAATTGATTAAGTTGCAGTTCGTACAAAGCCTCTAAAGATTGACCATAACTCAGTCAAGGTAAAATCTTATGTTTTGGCTCAATATTTGTCTTTTCCAAACGCGTTTCTCCTATGTTTTTCTGCTGCCCTATGTAAAGCATGTTTGGAGGATACCATTTTTGTATCTAATTGAGTAATTCCCTTGGTGCTGCAGAGGAGGTTGATGTTTTAACCTTCGGCCTATATTACTCTTGTTAGGGACTTCATGGTTATTTTCTTTATATAAAAAAAATTTCTCTTTATGAACATGCTATTAGTGAGCAAGGATTGTTAAAATGACAAGAAATTGAATCGCTTCTTGTTTGGTGCTTCTGCTTCTCCTATGTTTTCTGCTGCCCTATGTAAAGCATGTGTGTTTTATGTAATGGTGTTTTGTAGGATGAGTTGGAGAAACTTGAGTAGAGGGAGCAGGATGCACGCCGGAAGATGATGAATAAACAACCATGAAGGAGCAAGAAATGCTGCAGAGGTACAAAGTCCATTGTTGAATGTTTTGGTTTGGATGCAAATAGGTGGGGAAGCTAGAAGTAATAAGACTAACAAAAATATTGAAAATTGGTTTATTGGCTGACTTTGGTACCATTTTGTATTTATTGGGTGAAGAATATTGAAGAAAATATTTTGATGTGCTGGTGTAATTAAATTCACTTGTTGACCATAATGGCATGCTCTGGATTTTGATGCTTTTGTTCATGTTCTAATTGTACAAGAGTAATGATTGAATGTGCTATTGTTAAATTTCTTTGACCTAACTTCGTTTTAAAGGACTAAATATATACTAGATTCTACTATTTGTTGAATACATTAATGCAACTTGGTAAATATGATTGAATTGTGCCCAATTAAAATAATGGGTAGCAGGTTTTGAGAGAATGAAAAGGAAATTAATTGGAAATGGGAAATAAAGACACTGATATCTGTAACCTATGCAATGCATTAGTTACGGATGTATTTGGAATTGATGTACGCGTATTGGGTGTTAGGAATGTGGGACCCATTGCATAAATTAGGCACTGATTTTTATAATCAGTGACATTTTATCAATAGAGGACCCCTTTAAAAGACACTGATATATGTCAGTCCCTAATACTACAATAGACACTGTTTTCAGTCCCTAAAGAGGCCAAAAGGGACTGATAGCACTCAGTCTCTTTTGAGCCTTTTTTTAGTAGTGTAATCTTTAAATTAGTGATGATTTGCAATGGATTTCTTTCTGATAGTAATTTGCTGAATTTTATATTTTTTGGGTTGGTTTCCTGCTATATTTAATTGCTTGAAATGATAATCAATACCAGACAACTAGTTTTTAAAACTCTGTGGTTCTTTTCCCTAAATAAAATATAATATAATTAGCACTCAGTTTCTTTTTATTTGGTTTAGTTTTTCTTGTAGGTGGTAGTGTAACAAGTTTGTGTGCAAATAAGGGTTTTTAACTTGACTCTTGCAAGCATAATATTGCCCTCGCCGACTGCCATGAGTGGATTCTTCTGTCCTGGGGGTCCAATCAAACCCACAACTTTCGATCTTATTGTCATTGGAACAGGCATCCCTGGATCAGTAATTGCCGCCGCAGCTTCTGCTGTTGGAAAAACTGTCCTCCACCTTGACCCCAATCCATTTTATGGCAGCCACTTCGCCTCTCTCCCCCCAAATGACCTCACCTCCTTCCTCAATTCCCATTCTACAGATCACATCACCACTGCCACCATTAACACCACCTCTATTGATCCTAGTCTCGACCATGATTACATTGCCATAGACCTGAAACCCCGGTTGTTATACTCTAATATTGAGACTGCCACCTATGACCCTGAAATCCTTGCAAAACATTGCCCGAGAGAATTCACTATCGACCTTGGAGGTCCTAGGTTGCTATTCCCTGCTGACAAAGCCACTGACCTTTTGATGAAATCCGGACTAAATTTGTATGTTGAATGTGGGTTCTTGGAATTCAAGAACATCAGTGAAATTTTTGTTTGTGATGAGAATGGGCAGTTAAGGAATATTCCACACTCGCGAATAGAAATGTTTAAAGACAGGAGCCTAAGCCTTAAAGAGAAGAGTATGTTAGCAAGGTTCTTCAAGTTCCTTGAGCAGTACTTGGAAGCCTCTCGTGGTATTGGCGGAGACCAAGAAGGGAGCCACAATAGTGAAAGTTCCAAGATTTCAGAGGAGGACTTGGAGAGTCCCTTTATTGACTTCATAAATAGAATGCAGTTGCCACCCAAAATAAAATTGTACACATCAATAACTTTGCTTTTCTTTATCTGGAATTATGCTTCTTTCTTTCTTTTTTTCTTAATTGATTTTGACTGTGCTTACATTTTGTGTCATTTTCACCTCTAGGATTATTCACTGCATTGCCATGGTAGATTGTGGTCAAGACGACTTGGAAGTTTGTAAAAGTAAACTTAAGACAAGAGATGGGTTAGAGCGTTTAGCCCTCTACCACAGTTCAAGGTTAGTTGATTTTTTTTGGATTAAGTTTTGTTAATAACATTTATCCTATATTTTTAGATTCTGTATAGTATTATTCTAGCGACGCTGAACTTGGTACCTATGTGTTCATCCTATAAAATGTGTACTATTTTATTATTATGCATGGTCAATTTGAAGATATTGAAGAGCTATGCTTGTGAATAATTAAATTAAAATGGAAGAAACTGTACAATGTTTGATGGCCATGATTTAGGATTACGGAATTTAACTTTGTCATGAATCATGTTTCTTAGTATTTGATCCAATGACTTCAATGTGCACCTTATCTCGATACTTATGGTTCATCTGTATATAGAAGAATCTAGTTATATCAGTATCCCACATACAAATTCTTTGTACTTGTTATTAGGTCGACAAATGCCCATGGAGCTTGGATTTATCCTGAATATGGTCATGGGGATTTATCAGCTGCCTTTGCCCGCCGAGCCGCTGTTAAAGGTTGCATTACTGTAAGTTAAAGTGGAAGTATATGTTACCCTTTCTATAGAAATAAAAATATAAATATAAAGGAAAAGTATCCCACATCCTTGTTGCCTTGCATATACTTTTTCATATACATGTGCCCTTTTTCATTTACTAATTTTTGGGCCAATATGGTGGGTCTTGTTTAAATTTGTTAGTTGTCTCTTGTTTAAAAACTTTTTAAATTTCATTTCCTCTCCAAACTTTTTTAAAATTATAGTTTCAAAAACTCTGAAATTTTTTGCCCAGCTTGAGTTCCCACCTTTTCTTTTCCACCTTTAAAAAAGACGAAGTCTGAAAATTAGTAGCGAATAGGAAACTCAATTCAGATGATCAAGTCTTGGGCCATGGCTATGAGTATTTGTCATAAAGTCCACTTCAGCTTGGATGACAATGAATATGAAAATTGCTATGAGTATATCACAGAAGCTTGTGAACAGGAAGTTTTGCACCCCTCAACTCAAAACTCAAGAGTGTTGTTGGCTTTCTCCATCATACCATTAACGCAACAACAAATGAAACACCAGTTCTTCTGATCAAACCCCTAAAGACCTTGGATGCCAAATTATTTCTATGAGAAGAAAGAATTCTTTCCATTTTTAAGTTTGTTTAAATCCTTTTGTTTGTATTTTCTAAGAAAATACCCAAACAAAATGAAGGTAAGAAACAATCTCAGATTTAAAGAACGAGAACTCCATTAATGTCCACAAGTTAATTTCATTTTCTAAACTCAGACATGATGTAGGATACGGGTGAATTGTAGATTTAGGTAGTTTAGCTTAAGCGGAAGCAATGCAAAACAGAAAATAGAACGAACAAGGATAGGTCTGGAATCACTCTAGGAGTTTGGCTTCACATCTATTTTTTACATCTTCGTCCAGAGATAATCCTTGAAAAAATTCATGCAAATTGAAAATCATTAAGGCATCGAATTGAGACCAACAAAATCAATGAACACGGTGCTTCAAGAAAGTACTTGAATTTCAATAATTTAATTAAGTGGTCAAATGATATCGGATTCAAGTGAGATTGTTTGAATTAGTGAAATACAATGCATTGTGGGCCCTACAATATATGTATGTATATATTATGTTGTAAATTGCAACTTGTAATGCATGTCTGAAAAAACTGTCACGCAGGCTTTGCATACGCCAGTTAATGCTGTGCTTATGGATAAGGTATGTGATTGAGTACAATTCTATTGTCTTTAATAAAAGATACTTATATTAATACACTAACTTGGTACCTTAGAGTTACATGCAAATTCATATTTGCAATGGCATGTGAATATCGCAGGATAGTGGACAATATAAGGGTGTTAGATTAGCATCAGGTCAAGCTTTGTTTAGCCATCACCTTGTTTTGGATCCAACCTTCACCGTTCCATTGGCACCAACTTCATCTCCACCAAACCTTCTAAGAGAAGGTCTTCAAGTTTTAAGTCTGAAAGATGATAAAGGAAAGGTGGCTAGGGGAATATGTATTACAGCCAGTTCCTTGAAGCCAGATGTATCAAATTGTGTGCTTGTATGTCCTCCCAGATGTAAGAATTCATTTAGGTTTTTATTGTGCTTTGCTGTAAGTGTGAAAAGATAATAATAATCATTTTCTTTCCTTTTTCCCTCCCAGCTTTGTGCCCTGAACAGGATACCTCAATCTGGATTATCCAGATATGTGGCAGTTTGGAAACGGGTGTTTGTCCAAAGGGCATGTATGTTTATGCTATTTGAAAACAAGCTCTCTCTCTCTCTCTCTCTCTCTCTCTCGCTATGACACAAACACACATACAGAGAGATATACAAACATTTATTATTTATTTTCATATTGAGTTTACATTTGTTTATATGTTGATCACTGAATCTTTTGGAAATCATGCATCACATGTGCAAAATCAAGAATATGCTTAGATATAGGGATCCTCCAATGCTGTAGCGGTGATATCTTTGTGAACAGGTAGAGAGGAAAAAGAATTACCACTTGCCACCTCCATCTTTGGATTAGGTTTCATTATAGCTGAAAAGAACGGTATCTTTGTGTAGGTGTCAAGTTTTTATAGCTCAAGTTGGTTGAAAATGAATGAATGTGCAAAGCCTTTGGTCATGAGATGGAACAGCTAAGTAGATGGTCTTTATTCCTAGAAATAGGTGAACTTAGGCAGAAACTATTTATTGATGGTTTTGGACCCTTATATACTCAGTTATTACTGATACAATCTTTCAGGATGGTTTACATAAACAGACTTTGACTTCTATACAGCAGATCATGACCGTTGTCTATTTTGATACTTTCATATATATTAGATACACTTATAACAAAATTTTAAGCTGCCCACACTTCTTTACATTACCTTCTCGTCTTTAGGTTTCTGCTGTACTTTTCTGCTCTATGTGATGATGCTGAGCAAGGAAAAAGGTTGCTACAAGCAGTCAAGAATGCTCTTCTCACACTTCCTATGTCTGGAAATCCTGAAAGAGCTTCCACAGTTCAAAGTGAAAAAGCAGAAGTAAAACCCACCTTACTTTGGAGCACGTTGTATATTCAGGAGCTGACTATAGTACACCTCTCATCTTGACTTTTGTTTGTTTGCACTAAATTTGTTTCTCACTAGTTCTACTTGTTACTCACATTGATTATGCAGCCTTATTCTTTTTCTTTTGATGTCAAATCATGATGACGATAATGTTGATTTGTTGTCGTAGATGTTTTAGGTTAGCAGATGCCGAGGTGATGACTTGTTCTCATCTCTCTCTCTCTCTCTCTCTCTCTCCACCAAACAGTACGCATACAAACAATAGAGTGAGGGTCAAAATGAAAATGAGAGTAAATATTTTGTTGCCTTTTTGTGATTGAAATTAAAACCATCAGAACTTCAAGTTACTGAAAAATCCTATTTTCTTGGTGAAACCATGTTGTGGTTTTTGTATATGGGGCATCGATTGTGAGGTAGGTATGAGCTGTGATTTATTTTCTGATTTACATTAATTTCAGGATCAACACGAATATCTTATTTCAACTCCCATGCCAGATGGAAATCTGTGGTACAATGATCTGTTAGATGCAACTGTGCTGGTATTATTATCCCTTTATCGACATCTTGTGTTGTTTCATTAAGCTTAACTTTTTGTTATTATATATCCCTTGATTAACACCCTTACGAAATTGGTGTCAACGTTTGCACTTGACAGCTTTTCCAGAAGTTGTATCCAAATGAAGAATTCTTTCCCGAGACATCTGGGAATTTGGAGGATGACATTCTGATTAATCTAGAGGACTAATAGTGGTTTGCTGGACTCAAGTCGGTGTCTGTACTGTGCATCCCAACATGTTACTGAAATTATTAACACATGTGGCCTTGGTCATTGCTGAAGAGGATAGGCACAAGTGATGCTTGTATTTGTTCCATTGTTCACCACTGATTGTGATAGAGGATGAGGCTGGTACTAAATTTCTTCAAAACAAGTTTCCAAACTAAAGTCTTTATCATGAGTAATGATGAGAAAACCTTAACTCTCTGGTTAGCTACTAATACTTTCTTGCTATGCACAAATCAGGAATAGGAGCAGAAGCCAGACATTTGTGCTCGTAGTTTAAGAGACCAGATCCTCTTACTTTAAACTCTGAGTGAGCTGGGCTTGATTTTGTACTTTGTTTTTTCTCACTGTCTTGCTGGATTTAATTTTCTAGATTATTTGTATGCAAGAACCTCCACTTGGGGTGTGTTCTTACTGTTAATCTTTTGTTCTTGCCCTGTTGTAATGAATTTCAGCTTGTTAGGAAAAAAGAAGAAGAAAAGAATGAGGGGATCTGTGTTCGTTCTTTTGCAGATGCATGGTTCAAGTTATTAAAGAAAATGGCAATTGATGCATGTATTTCTTTCAGAGTTGGTCCCCTGGTCTTTGTCAGTAGCCTTGCTAGTTACGAAGACAAAAACCACAAATGGCTGAGAAAAAGAAAAATGTTCCACAAGTATGCTGACCAAGGAAAGACAATTTTGGGTTGTTCAAACATTTAGCCGCAAGGGCCCACAAAAGATTAGATTTTTTTTGTCTTGTAACAAAAACATATCCATTTCTTTTATTCGACTATGATGTGGAGCCATCAATTTATAGGCTAAAGTAAATACTAAATTTACAACATATTCTATAGGTTACAAGCATTAAATACTAAATTTACAATATATTGTGAAGGTTACACCTTATAAGTTCATGTGACATTTCTACAAAAATCTCGTATATATATTTAGTACATATGTAACACATTACTAAAAAGGTGGAAGACTAAGAGGTACGGTGGTCATCTATCATCTAGTGAGGCGTTGGAGCATCATCCAAATCTACTGATTGTCATTTCCAACACCACTATCAACGGCCTTGTAGCTTAGGTTGTGAACTTGACAACTGAGAATTGATCCTCTCTCGACTACAATAGCTTTGAGCGAAGTCATCAAACAAGCGCAATCTACACATCCAATCGATCTATCTACATCATCATCAATCGCATGGTAATTTGTGCTAGCACGCCCAAGCATACCCCATACAACACAAAGTAGGACGACCTGTATTGGAGCATATCCCCTCGGCCTTAAACACCATGTCGTAAGATTTGAACAACCAACACCTTGAGACCATCTACTGACTTAGGGGGGTGTATTCAATTCTATGCGTTTAAAGGTCTGGAGGTATTGAACTATGACTTTTAAATAGCCTTTAAAAATTTAGTGGTATTCAATTGTGATTTTAAAAGTCTTTAAAAGTTTTGTGGTACCCAAAAAATTAATGACTTTTGAAAACTTTTTTTAAATGAATGACTTTTCAATACTTTAAGCCTAATTCTTAACACCAAAAGTCTTGCTAATTTACCCAAGACTTTATCAATGAATTTGATCATGCTGTAGCTTTGGCCATTGCGAGGGTGTGCCACCATGTTTCGGTCTCTAGACCCACTCCCTCTTTGGTCGATGTACTATCAAGAGATGGCCTACTACAACGCCAATTTGATTTTGTTTTTGGCTTCCATTATATGTCCTAGGAATTGTTATGATGATGAGTCGTTTCTTGCTTGTTTTTTTTTCTTTTCAATGCTTGAAACAATTACTACGTACTAAGAGCTATGGTGGAAGGTTTCTTCCATAAATTTTGTTTGCCTCCATTTGCAATTTTTAAGGCCTATCTGTAGGAACAAATGATTTTGTAACAAAACTCACATTCTCCAACAACAATTTAGCTCTTAGCATCCTGGGGGTTACATCTAACCCCACATTCTGGTGCTGTTATTTGGCTTGGCTCTATCACCATGCCACTTTATTGGTATCTCCCACCGAAACAGAGTATACTTCTAGAAGGTCTTGAGGATCTCAACTTCGTTCCAGCAATCGAATAATCTGTCCCTTCTTCCCCAAGACCTAGCTCTACAAAATAATTAATCTATCACTTATGGGAATTATTCTCTACAAACCCTAACCAAGGAGAATCTATATAAAGATGACATCTCATCACACATGAGACAATTCCAAAAACCCTAGAGAAAACTCTCTCTCTCTCTCTCTCTCTCTCTCTTGTCGAAGAGAAAGCTCCATCCTTCCAGTTAAAGTTGTATGTTCTTAAGACCATTTAACTGATATAGGCATCTGAAGTCCTTTGGCCAACACCTCTCGGGTGTGCTCCGTTGACCGCATCCATTTTGCAAGAATCAAGGAAGAAGACAATCGAGTGAGGAAGAGGATCTTTCACGAATATTCTCCCCAAAGATAATTTGTACAAACATATAGTGCTTACAATTTGGACACAATATCAAAATCGCTTAAGGTACTTGTTATTTTTCATAAATTTTATATTTGTTAAGTTTTCAATTTTGAACTCTCATTCTATTATGTTTGTTCGGATCTTGCTCACGTCGAATTAGTTCACGATAGAATTATGTCAGACTTTCTAAGGTTTCTTTCGGCATTGCTTTCATGAAAATATATTAAGAATTGAATTTTCGGTGGTTTTATAAAGTTCAAACAGTTGCAGAGGAATTTTCTCGACAGATTATGTACCATGTGTGCGGATTAACAAATGACACATCTAAAGATCTTAAACTGACCTAAAATTTTGGTATATTTGTATATGTGTCTTCTTCGATACTGTTACTTTTCATGTTTATTCAATATGGATTTTATTTATGGTGTATTTTTTAAGTAACCTATGATCTGTAAGAAGTATATGTGCTAGCAGGTTTTATAAGTAAATTTTGTAGGTCTTCTTAGACTGTTGAATGGACATAAAGAGACTGTATATTTTTGTTATGTGAAGATTATGTCTGTAGTTTGATTCTATGTAATTTGGGGTTAATCAAGCTAATAAAGAATTTGTGATAATTTTTCAAGTAAGTGAATGTCATTGCTGGAACCTTATTTGGCATGCTTTGTATTTGTTTTGGTGCACCTATGGTATTTTTAAAATAATATATTTTAAAAGTAGTATGATATTATCTTATCAAAGTATACTAATTATCATGTTATAAAGTTATGAGGTTTTGGTGTACTTTTTGACAGTAACAAAGTAGTGAGTGTTTTGCCCAAATGGGATAACTGATGTATGGATTTTTGGGCTTAACACTCACTGCCCTATTTTGTAAGCTCATGAAGTCTTACTCACCTATGTTTCCAAGAGTTTTCCTATAATTTGTCTTGGTTGTCCAGTTATTCAGTTCAAATTTAAATAAAGTGCATGCATCAACTTAAATAAGGGTAAACTACTGAACTATCAAGCTTGTCGAAATCTCCACATTGAACTTTTTTTTTGCCAATTTAGCCCTCATACCAAATCTTATCGCCAATTTACCCCCCACCGCTAGTTTTTAGCAATTTTCATCCTAAAGCTCGTCCAATATAAGGGTAAATTTGACATTTTACAAGGTATAGTATTAAAAAAATATATGAAAAATAAGGGCTAACGAAACTTCACGGGATTAGGTAACGAGTGGCAACCATGCAAAGCAAAATGAGGGGTCTCGCTCCCCCATACTTGGGCATTTACATCGGCAACTCACAGTAATTGAATGAGCTGCAAAATAGAAAAATGGACGGGGTAAGCTCACAAGAAACGAAGAAAATTAAAATAAAATAAAATAAAATAAAATAAAATAACGAAAAGTAAACATTGGTTGCCTCCTAACAAGTTCTTGGTTTATAGTCATCAGTTAGACTGTAAAATCCATCAAGCCAGGTTGGTGAGCGGAAGTGAAGACTTCATGGCGTCGTTGTCCATTAACTTTGAAGGTAGCACCGGTCTCTAGATTTTGTATTTCAACAGCTCCATAAAGATAGACTTGCAACACAAGGAATGGGCCATACCAATGAGATCGAAGTTTTCCTAGAAAGAGTTTAAGCCGTGAATTGTAGAGGAGGACTTTTTGTCCTACAAAAGATTCTTTACGCTGAATATGGTTGTCATGTCATTGCTTGGTTCTGTCTTTGTAAATTTTGTAAATTTTGGCATTCTCATATGCTCAGTTGTAGTAATCTTTTCTCTCCAGCTGCACCCATGTCAAAATTCAATTTCTTCATCGCCCAATATGCCTTGTGCTCTAATTTGACCGGTTAGTGGCAAGCTTTTCCAAAAATAAGTCAGTACAGGGACATACCAAGAGGTGTCTTGAATGTTGTGCTATAAGCCCATAGAGCATCATCTAATTTTGCCGACCAATCTTTCCGAGAAGCGCTAACAGTTTTCTCTAAAATTCTTTTGATTTCTTGGTTAGAAATTTTGACTTGGCCACATTCTTGAGGATGATAAGGGGTGGCTACCTTTTGAGTGATGCCATACTTAACCAAAAGAGCTTCGAATGGCTTATTACAAAAATGACCTTGCTAAATTAGAAAGAGTTCTAATGTTTTCCTACTGCCTTGCTAAATTAGAACCTAATGGATTGCACACCTTCAATGGTTAACTTCGAGTAAAACAAATGAGAATGACGAAATCAATTTAATTGATTTGATGTGGATGATTTACTACGTGTAAAAATGTATTTGGGCCTCGGTAATAGTTAATGAGAAGCCCAAATGGTTGGGTATCTAGCCCAAGGACTTAGGACACTTAAATATTATGGTTTAAGTGTCATAAGGCCCAATTTTGGAAGCCCAATGGGGTTTGGCCGAAAATGCTTAAGTAGATGTGTATGGGAATTGTTTCCATAGGCTCATTAACACACAAACACAATCCAACATCAACCAAATAGGTTTGGGAGATCAAAGAGAGAGAAAAGAGAGTTTTCGAGAGTGAAACACTTTCATCTTTCAAAGGGGTTTAGATTGAAAAAAATCTTGAGAATCTTGAACTAGCATCCTTGTATTCTCAAGATACTTCTTCTCATCTCAAGGTTCCATTGGTGTGGAGACTTAGAGGCCATGTCCTTTTGTGGCTCACAAGGAGGAGAAAGATCAAAGAGGAGATCAACAAATGGAAATCATCAAGAGAAGACCAAAACACAACTTGGTTCATATTATAGCATCAAGGGTAATTGACACTTATCCTTTTCTCTTGTGCTTTCATTTATGCAATCATATCAATGTTCATGGCTTAAGATACTTGGAAGAAGTTTTGTTTTGAATTTAAACAACCACCATATTTTTCCACTGCGATTAATTTGATTAAATGCAAGTTTAATATTCAAATAAACTTCTTAAAAATGTTTTAAAACCAACAAGGATTTTGGTTACTTACCCATAAATTTAGTCCTATTGTAATTGAGATTTATTTCCTATGTTATTTAGGGTTAACTCATCTTTGGAGAAGAATAAAAAAATGAGCATTATGACCATAATTGATTATTTGTCCTACTTTTATTTCACATGGTATGAGAGCCTAGGTTTTCTTGTGACCTATGCTTGATTTTTCCTTGCAATTTAAGTGCTCTCGAGGAGGGGAAGAGGAGTCAAAAAGATATGTTTACTGATGTATCCCCATTACATTGACATATTCCCAGGAAAATGTTGCTTATTTCTTGACTTTGACGACCCCTTCTCATTAGGGGCAAGAGGGAGAGTGAAGAGCAGTTGTGTTTGTGTGAATTAGCTAAAGTTGATATGGAAGAACTGTTGTCATTATTGTTGTTATTTCTGCTGTCGCCATTGATGTTGTCTTTGCTTGCTTCGCTTTCCAATGTCGTGGTTATTGATGTTGATGTGGCCATGCCCTTTGCCTTGCCTTGCCTTTACTTTGCCTTTGCTTTGTCTTTGCCTTAACTTTGTCTTGCCTTATCCTATTTTTAGGGTTTGGTTTTGCCTTTACCTTTGTCGTGCCATACCCTATTTTTAGGGGTTTGGTTTTGCCTTACCTTGTGCCGTGTTCACAGGGTTTCTATGTTCTTTGCCATTCTTACTTCCAACAACTATAAAAACAATCGAGCAGATGCAGGAATAAAATAAGCCAATAGCACTATGCCTTTATTAGTCAAGCAAGACCCCCCGAAAACACGCTAATATTCACAAGGTTTCTGTGTTCTTTGCCTTACCTTTACCATGTTTGTTGCCCAAGGAATCAACCTTAGAGGGGGTGAATAAGGTTGATTGCAAATTTAAGTTTAAACATGGACAAGTAAATTTGACAAGCAGAATAATAAAGAGATAGGGAAAGAAAGATTTAAATTTAGAGATTTATACTGGTTCAATCCACCTGACCTACATCCATTCCTCAAGCACACCACTTGAGAGTTCGATCCACTATGTTGAAAAACTCCTTGCAGGTGGAGTTCAAACCTTTACACTATCATACCACACCACTCTAATACAAGATGGAAGACACCCTTCTCACCTCACGGGGTCAAACCAACCCTTTTTACAAGTTTGAATGAAATAACTCTTGGAACAAAATCTCTCCTATTTGAGAGGGATATACAATTGAATCTCACACAAAGATAACTCTCTTTTCTGAGTAGGTGATTACAGACGTAATTTTGGACACTATAACTCTTGTATGAATTTGAACAAGGAATGGCTCAAGAGAAAATGATATTCATAGTATGATGAATGCTTGTAAGCTTGGATGAATATGTTGAGATGTTGTTGTCACCAAAAATCTGAATACATATTTTAAGTATAGAAATAAAGTTGTTGGAAAGATAGAGCCATTAGGAATATAGCTGTTGGAAAACATAGCCGTTAAAAATATAGCGGTTAGAAAACAGATCTGTTGGAACAATGAATGTCGAAATTGTCGAGCTCAATGGCCTATTTGATTAACCTTCCTGACGTTTCTGGTCTCTGTAAGACTTGGCCTAAGGGTTGATTGGTGAGCACTATGATGTGTGAGCTTGGAAGTAAGGCTGAAGCTTGCAAGCAAAGATGACAGGGGCATAGGCAAGCTTTTCCAGCCTTGGGTACCAAAGCTCAGCCTCTTCCAAGGCATGGCTTGTGTAGAAGAAGAGGATGTTTGAAACCTTCAGGCTTATGAATCAGCACAGAGACGACTGCCATTGCTGAGACTGAGAGGACACGAACAGGTGTCGGGAAGCGGAAGGCTTGGCGGCTACCATTTGTTTCCCCATGTCGTGACCACTAGGCTTGGGTACACTCTTGAGCAACTGCTCCTGCCAATGATGCATGATTTGTTCAAGGCCATTCCGCACCTAGGCCGAATGAGTTTGTTGCTCGTACAGCTGCCTCTGAGTGTCATCGAGCTTGGAAGAGAGGATGTTGGTGTGATCTTGCATATTCACCATGTCCTGCCATAGGGATTCTATTTGAACCAAGGTTGGCTTTAATAGTGCTTTTTCCCATAAATGGCACCAATCTGTTAGCGCTCAAAACTAAACGAGTAGTAGTAGGCCCAACCTAAAGATGAGGTGGATGATCGAGGGATTAGATATGCCTTCAGTAAAGACTTCGCTTCAGTAGGTTGACCGTTATCTACGCACAGAGAGAGAGAGAGAGAGAGAGAGAGAGAGAGAGAGAGAGAGAGAGATAGACAGACAGACAGACAAACAGACAAACAGACAAACAGACAAACAAAGAGAGACAGAGACAGAGAGGTGTGGTACCTGTCGAAGGCCCTCTGATACTAAAGTTAGCCAAAGTAGGGAGGAGTTAGCTATTGACAAAACAACGGCATAAGTGTCGAGTTTCGCATGTCTCCTTGGTATCAAGTTTCGATGTGGGACTTGTGGAAGTAGCCAGAGAGGCTGCCATGTGTCCCAGTGATTATACCAATGAGGAACCTGAGAGATTCCTACAAGATACATGTTTCACCCATTTTGTTTTGGTTCCTCTGATGGTAGGGTAAAAATCCTCATTGGCCTGGAAACCATTTGTGATCAACAAGTCAACTTTCTATTAAGTGTGAGCATGCCATTGTTAGCAGTTTAAAACCCTAACAGACATAGAAAAACGTAATAACTTGAGCCCCAAGTTACTGACTTGATCAAACGATAGTGAATTTGGGGGATGAATAACTCCCAAGTATTTTCTTTTCTTCCCTCAGACTGGTGAGGACTTCATAATTTATCACAGCAAAAGCCAATGGTAATTCTGGCCATAGAGAGACCTGCTAGATGGGTAGAATTGGGATTTCTTCAGTCTGAATTGGACTGGAAATGGCTAGGTTGATGATTGTTGCCTTTGGGCTATACCACAGTACCTGCTTTGCTTGATTATGAATCAACCAAGAGCTATTCTGGCAATTCTGGGAGCTTGTAAGATCCCTGTAAATTTTTTGAGGTTTTCATATTATGAAAAACCCAAGTTCTGCTTAATTTGGCTTGAGGTGAACCAAATTTGTAATGACAAAAAACTGAATTCTGCTTGCCCTTTCTGAGCTGGACTAAATTTGCAACAAGAGAAGTCTCGTTTCCCTTAGCTGGTGACCTATTTTTCTGGGCTACATTGGTAATAGAAACCTGAGTTTCACCTGTTTTGTTGACAGCTGAATGACTTTTGCAAACTAGATAGCTTGATTGTTGCTAGGTTTGAAGACTATTAAGATCAAATGATCTCTGATTTTGTTTGCGCCTAATAAATCACGGTCATAAACTGATTGAAGGGACTTCCTCTTGGTCCTGGCACCTATCATTTCGTTAACCATTTCGCCTTCCTGAAAACAAAAGAAAAGCTGCAAAGGCAGAATCCTCTCGATCTCGCGACCGCAGTTTTGAAGGCCAAGGCCGAAAGCCGTAAAAGAAACAGCTGAAGAAGCTGTGGTTAAATCACCACGTGGCCTCAGGGTCCCACACCCCATTTAATGAAGTAATGCCTCTGACTTTCGCAGAAAACCCACTAGTCGCAAGAAGCATTTAATGCACAAGGGAAGAAGGGAAGTGACTGAAGTCAGGATTTGGTGATGGAAATCAGGGTGGTTAGGCGCAGACATTCTCACAAGTAATCTTACGACTTGAGGTCAGATCACCAACCACCAAACCAGGGCATTAAATGCGTTCCCACGGCCAAAGAGGCAGAACCCATGATCAGGGCGGTGGCCGAGATTTACCGAGATTTATGGGGGTCACATCACCATGCTTCTCAACCCCAAACCACCATGCTTCACGATCCCAAATGCCGATTTGACTACCCACTTGCCCCGATCAGGCTCCACAACGCAGGTCTTTTCAGCCTCGATTGTCCCTCCAGGACTCCTCCTATAAATACTAAGCCCAGGACTACATTCAAAGGGTTCAAACACCAAACCAAAAGCCTCCCATGGAGCAAATTATATTTTCCTGTAATGCACTTTCAATACCTTTATTTGTTTTCCTAGGAGTAGTGGTAGATTGTAAGGAAAATTCATTCATCAATATATCATATGACCCTTGATTTTCAAGGTGCCGGAGCACCATCTCTATTATCGTTTCATTCACCCCATATATCATACGACCGTCGCTCTCTGAGCAACGCGCCGGAGCACCGCCCAAAACTCGCTACCAACACCACTACTAAAACGGCCTTGTAGCTCAGGTTGTGAACCTGACGGCCGAGATCAGTTCCTCTCTTGGCCACAATCGTTTGATTAGGAGTTGAACGCAAAACAGGCGCAACATTTAACCATCTTCTACCCGAACCTCATCATCATCTCGACGCACGGTAGACCGTGCTGGCACGCTCGCGCACAACCGCACCGCATCCAAAAGAAGGACGTCACGTGTTGACTCACATCCCCTCGGCCCGGAGCACCAGGCCGTGAGATTCGCGACAGCCAACAGATTTATGTCAGTTTTGACTTAAGAGTGATTGATTTTTATTGTTGAGATGTTGATTGTCTTTTCTGCGAGCTCTTATCTCTCTGTATTTATAGGCAAAGTACATGGTGCTTTGCCCCTTGGTATCTTGGAATTTCTATAAAATTCCTTCCACTTTTGCACTCTCAACTCGAATTGTTGAACCTTGGTGTTATATTTGCCTATCAATTCAAATTGTCATGATGATTAATTCCCCTTGACTTTACTTTCCATCCATTCCTACCAATTTTCCTGAAATCCCTCTGCCCTTTCCAGCTTTATGGATGGGTTCACGTGGGCTTTTGGAATAGTGGAAAAAGAATTCCTTTTCCTGTCTACTTGTCTGGAGATAAACGGTGGTGATTGATTCCCTGGGTCTTTCTAAACAAACTGGAGGCAGTTAGAGGCTGGGCATTTGTGTGGGTCAAAGCTGGGTGTGTTAAATTGAATTACCTGGGCCTCTTCAATGTTTTGGGCTGATTCCCAATCTTGGCAAATATGGAGCCCAACGTTGTTATGTCATCATGGGCCAATAGTGATGGGCTAGCGTGCAAAATTTAGGCCCAAACAATGCCCCCTAAGTCTGAATCGTTTTGAAAATGGTTTCAGGTTTAATGATGCACGCCATTTCCTTCCTTTGCTTTAGCCCACTTCTGCCTATTGTCTACCTTTCGTTTTTAAACTTGAAAATGTCCTCCTCTGTTTTCCCTCTGCCTTCCTCTCTTCCTCTTGCCTATATCTCTAGGGCAGGGGTTGATAACCATGCAATTGAAGTTTGAAGCAAGCTCTACGCATATACCCAAAAGAACCTGGATGAAAATGTCCTTCACCTATTTGAGAATACCTTTGTTCTGGGACCTTATTGGTTTGGTAATGTTCATGAGGAAATGGCTAATGTGTTTAAGGAAGACGATGAGGCTCTTCTGTGCTTCCAAAGCTCTTCTGTTGTAGCTTCTCACAACTGGGTTAGCAAGAATTCGAGCCATTTATATCCCTCTAGTGCAGTGAGGAATAGTATAGTGAAGTGGTCAGACTGGATTGACAAACTCCTAGGAGGTATGGAGGTCATTGGAAAACGGCTGGGAAAGATGACTTCATCCTTCTGTCCAAGAAATCTATGAATAGGGATGAGAATTTGCTGGCTGCTGCTCTATAGTTTTGGAATTCTACCAACAACACGTTTGATTTTCATGTTGGCCCCATAACTCCAACCCTGCTGGACATGGCTCAGATTTTTGGTTTTAGACCTCATAGGAGACCTGTTAATGCAATTGGTGACTACCACAGAAGGAAGAATCAAGAGTAGCTAGCCAAGCCATTCACCATTACAACTGCCACGACCAATCAGAACTGCACGTTCTCGAATTATTTGAAGAAATTCAGCACTGAGAGAGATACGGATCAACAACACATGTTGTTCCTTCTGTATTGGCTAAATATGTTTGTCTTTCCAAACTGTTCTTCAATAGTTCTGCTTGAATACAAGCATCTAGCAGAAGATCTGCATAACCATACTGATGTGGGGCTTGGTCCCACAGTTCTAACTCACCTGTACAAGAACCTTCACAGTACCACCTTAGAGAATCCTTTGAACATCTCTGCTCCTGGCGCATTCTGGATTGCCTGCTAACCCTTTCTTCTTTTGTGTAGTCACTTATGCTATTGCTGCTAGAGACTTAGAGCTCTCTTTTGGCAATGAGGAGGATGATTACGAGACTCTGGCCGAATCAACTGTTGGGGCAACTCCTTCTGTTAGAAAGAAAAAAAAGAAAGGAAACCACTCAGGCTAAGGACAGTGCAATCCAGCTTGAACCTCCAGGTAGATTTTTGTCATTTAGCTCTGTCATTCCTTTTTGATTAGTTTTGAGCTGATTTCTGACTTCTTTCCTTGTATATTTGCAGTTGAGAGTTCTCCCCCTCCTCCTACCAAGGCAAAAAGGCTCAAAAAGAGGGCTGTTAGTGAGTCTGAAGAGACAGAAGAGGCTGCAGCTATTCCCACAGCAACCACAAAGACTGATGAAGAGCTGCGATAGGGTTGTGGAGACAGAGAAAGAGGTTTCCAAGGAGGACTTAGAAAGAACCAAAGATGTAGAAGAGGTGAGGTTTCCTTTATTCCTTCATACTGAATTGGATACCCTTGTGTTTCATTTTTCTGATGTGAATTTTGTCTTTCTGTAGGAGAAGATCCCTGCTGAAATGATAGCAGAAAGTATTACATTGGCTAGGAACCAATAAGAAGCTCAAAGGGTAGAACCCACCAATTCAGAGTTGGCCTTGTTTGATGATGTAGAGGCAGAACACTTTGTTGCTGCTCCAGAACCTGAGGTAGTTTCTATTCTCTCTCAACTTTGTCTGGTCTCTTCAATTTTGTCTATCTTTGCCTTTCTAAACGATGTTCCTGCCTTTCTAGGTGGAGGAGGACAGAACTACTGGGCTTTAGCTGTGGTGACCATCATGCCTTGGGATTGTTCTTCCTTTTGCAATTCTGAGTAGAACTAATTCAAGCTATTCTTTGCAGATTCCTATTCATTCTGTTCCAGGCTCGTCCACCACAGCCTCCATTGCTGATTCAGAATTGGCAGAGTTTGAAGCTATGGATTTAGAGGCTCAACCGGACAAACTTGAGAAACTTGGATCCACACCCAGCAAGGCTAAGTCCAAAGCAGTCGATGAGGTAGTGGAAAGAGTTAGAATCTAGCAGTCAACTAAGCTGGATTTGGATGAGCACAAGGAAGTTGTTAATAAGTTGATAAAAGACCTAGACCTGCTGCACAGGGAGAACATGGCTCCCAGGCCTATTCTTGAGATCAGCCTAGATTGGCAAGAGATGTGCTCAACCTCTACAATCGTCATGAAGATCTCAATCCCTCTCTCAATGCCTCCAAGTTCTGCAAAGCTACTCATGAAGTCAACCTGGTCGATTATCAGAAACAAAAGGCAGAACTAGACATGCTGGTTACAGACTATAAGGAGACCAAGTCTGCTGATGATAATTTGGAGAAACAGATTGAAGAACTCCAGAAACAGTTGGTTGGATTAAGGGAGAGACAGAACAGACTTGGGGCTGGATTGGGAACCAAGACTAAGACCGCTTTCCTCGTGCAGAACATGTTTTCAACCTCAAGGCTGCCTTGGAAATTGCAGAGGCTTCTACTCACCAAGGAGTGCTCCTCCAGAAAGAAATTTCTACCAAAAAGACTGGATTGCAGGAGACTCTTAGGAAGTTAGGACTTTAGATTTTTGCCCCTTTTGTAATAGAACTTAGTCATGTAAACAAATGACTATATTTAATAAAAGGTTCTAATTGTTTTTGTGGAACTTTGTATTTTCATTTTCTTCTAACTATATAAAACAAAAGAAGGCATAAATGAAACACACTAAAATGAAATTACTGTAGAAACTGAATGAAGTCAGACAACAATCCCATTATGTTCCCCTTCGATCCCAAGATCTGTTTGCACTGTCTGTGAATCCCATATTGTTGGATAGAACTTCTTCAACCATTTGGCCCCCAATCTGTTTGTGCCTAATAAATCACGGTCATAAACTGACTGAAGGGACTTCCTCTCGGTCCCAGCACCTACCGTTTCGTTAGGCTTTTCGCCTTCCTGAAAACAAAAGAAAAGTTGTAAAGGCAGAATCCTCTCGGCCTCGCGACCGCGGTGTTATAGGCCGAAGCCGAAGGCCGTAAAAGACTCGGCCGAAGATACTGTGGTTAAATCGCCACGTGGCCTCAGGGTCCCAAGCCCCATTTAATGAAGTAATGTCTTTGACTATCGCAGCAAACCCACTAGTCACAAGAAGCATTTAATGCACGAGGGAAGAAGGGAAGTGACTGAAGTCAGGATTTGGTGATGGAAGTCAGAGTGGTTAGGCGCATACATTCTCACAAGTATTCTTACAACTTGAGGTCAGATCACCAACCACCAGACTAGGGCATTAAATGCGTTCTCATGGCCAAGGGGGCAGAACCCACGATCAGGGCGGTGGTCGAGATTTACCGGGATTTATGGGGGTCACACCATCATGCTTCACGATCCCAAATGCCGATTTGACTACCCACTTGCCCCGATCAGGCTCTACCACGAAGATCTTTTCAGCCTCAATTGTCCCTCCAGGACTCCTCCTATAAATACTAAGCTTAAGACTACATTCAAAGGGTTCAAACACCAAACCAAAAGCCTCCCACGGAACAAATTATATTTTCCTGTAATGCACTTTTAATACCTTTATTTGCTTTTCTAGGAGTAGTGGTAGATTGTAAGGAAAATCCATTCATCAATATATCATACGACCCTTGATTTTCAAGGCCGGAGCACCATCTCTGTTATCATCTCATTCACCCCATATATCATACGACCGTCACTCTCTGAGCAACGCGCTAGAGCACGGCCTAAAACCCGCCACCAACACCACCACTAAACGGCCTTGTAGCTCAGGCCGTGAACTTGACGGCCGAGATCAGTTCCTCTCTCGGCCACAATCGTTTGATTATGAGTCGAACTCAAAACAGGCGCATCATTTAACCATCTTCTACCCAAACCCCATCACCATCTCGACGCACGGTAGACTGTGCTGGCACGCCTGTGTTAACGCACATCCCCTCGGCCCGGAGCACCAGGCTATGAGATTTGCGCAGCCAACACTTTTGGCACGCCCAGTGGGACTCTTGTCAAAAACTCATGGTGGAAACTAGGGCACTGGCAAATCTCAAAGACAAAACAGTCAAAATGACTTCCGAGGCTCCTGAGTCCACCTCACCAATCACTATCACCGAGACCGAACACGTGGTCATAATCTTGGCCAGCGTTCCAATAACGATGGATCGTGCGACCGAGTCCATGGAAGAGCAAGCAGTAGTGGAGGGTCTGATGGCTAAGCAGGCCTACAGGATAGAGACATCCTTTATGGCTGCAATGGACAGATTCTCCTCAGAGCTACGGACGCTTTTTCAGGAGAGGATGCCGGTAAAGTCATCCGCGACGCCTCCCAGAGCCGGACAGAGAAGCCAAGAGCGCGAGAGGTTCGAGCCCTATGGCGAAAGCAGCAGCCTCGGCGCCTCCGGCCGCACCCAAGCGTCAGCCTATAGCTAGCATTCTCAGCCGCCGACAAATAGCTGGGGGCAATCCCAGCCAACATGGGTAAATCCTGGACCTACCTACCCAGCAGAAACAGCGTACGGCCCACTCCATGCTTTGGCCGTGTCACTAGGGCAACGCAGCCCCACGCATTCCGCGGTCCAACAACTTGGCCCAATTCACACCGTGGCCGTCCAGACCCATCCTGGCCCAAGCAACACGACCGCTGCTTCGTCACAACAATACAGTCAGAGCAATCCGACCGTTTCATCATTACAGGCGTCGTTATTTCCGTCAGGTTCCCACCTTCAGTACGGTTCGGCCATTCGAACAGCAACACATACGCACCCCGGTCAAACCTACGGTGCTTATCTAATGCCGCCCGGCTCGGTCGCAACGGTAGAGCCCCTAGTTCAAGTGGCCCAGCAGATAAAGTCGCAGAATGATGCGCAATAGGTCCAACGGCCACTTCCAACCCAGCTGGAGTCGCCCCCTTAGGATCCTCGGACCGAAGATGTCCGGCGCATGACCAAGGACAGCTTAGCCCAGAGGCGGCCGGGGGCACCAGGTTATACTGAGCCGTACCCACCCGGAAAGCCCAGGACTTGGCACTACTTACTCACTAAGGCTTTTTGGGCATACCACATATCGAAACACTCGGCCACGGGTACAGCTCCTTATGCCTTGACTTACGGCCAGGACACTGATGTACCAATCAATCTAAAGGCTCGATTTCTTTGAAGTACCAAGCAACCTAGGCATGAGGTAAAGAACTACGCACGAGCGATGGCCCAAGAGTTAGGAAATTTAGAACAGTCAAGACTCGACGCTTACAATTCGATGCAAGCTCAGGAACATATGGCGCCAAGGGTCTACAACAAAAAGGTCAAGCAAAAGACCTTCGCCGAGGGCGACCTGGTACGGCGCACCGTGCTTCCTATTATGACTAAAAACCCACGGATAGGCGCGTTTTCGCCGAGCGGGAAGGGTCGTTCATCATCAAACGAGTTCTCAGCCGCGGCGCATTCCAATTAAGAGACAGAGATGGGGAACGTCACGACTTGGGAGACGGCCGGGAATAGAGCATAAATTGGCATAAGGCAAGAGAAATTTGAAAGGATATGTGTGTTTCAAGAAAAGAATGGCCAGTTGCAGCCAGCTAGAGATATACATGAGGCATAAAAATGAATCTTTCGACGGCCCAAAAAATCAGATGTCATTGGGATTAAACTTAAGGTTCATGATTACAAGCAACGGCAAATTTTGGCCGAGTAGGAATATATGTCTATATCTATATAAAAATTACATCCTAAAAACTATAAACGGCCGCCTGCCTAAACCCCCTAGCTGAACATCCCCCAGATTAGGCATGTTAACCTTCTCCAGGCAATGTCCCCACCATCTATATCCGCCTGCCACCTCGCCCGAATCAGCTTCCTCTCGGCCAGTGCCCTCTTTTTCTCGGTCGCCGCCTTGAGGATTTGCCTGGCCGAAGACTTCAGCTCGGTTCCAACCGCGATCGCACCATCTCGGCGCTGAAGGATGAGATCTCGACGGGCCTGGAGCTCGGCAATCTAAACCTCGACCTGCGCGAGTTCCTCATTCTCTCTTTGGACAACGAGGTCATTTTCCTTCAAACGGGCCATGGCAGGTTGGACTTGTTCTTTTATCACTGACGGCTCTTGCTCGAGCGAGCACCCCTCGGTCATCTCTTGCCCTCGGCCAAGCAAACCTGTAGCTCTCGGAGCTTAGCCGAGTCCAGCAGACCCAGCGCCATGGCCGTATCCAGAGAAAACCTGAACTCCATGAAAGCCTCGGCCGTGGTCATTTCGTGCACTCCCAAGAAGAGGAACTCTCGGAGCCGCTCAATAGAAGCCCTAGAATCCTCGTCTAGGGGGTTCGAAACCGAGCTACATCCCTCCTCGTGAAGGCTGGTGTACAGTTCGGCGAGGTCATCTGAGGTGGTGGGCTCCGGAAAAAAAAAGAGTTAAATGTTTGAAAAGACAGGAAAAAGTCAGACGCACTACGAGGAGAGACTCACCTCAGCGGCCGGTGGCACGACGAAGGTCTCGGTGACCGCGAGCTCGGTCATGACCGTTGACTCCTGAGATAAAGGCAGCTGCGGCATGGACATGCTGACTGAGACGGTTGGAGTTAAAATTGGAGTGGCGGTGGCCAGGGGGTCAACAACCGCAATATCATCCTCGGCCAATGGTTCTTGAGTCACGGCCATCGTAGCTGAGACAACGGCCACGGTCAGAGGCAAAGACGCTCTGGGGGGCTGCAAACGAAAATCAAAAGTTAGAAAAACCCAAGTGAGAAAAGGAGACTAGCACGCTAAACAAACGCTTACTGAGTGGATCACAATGCCGCTGGGACGACGGGGAGTGACCGGCGGCGGCCTGACTGGGACCATGGCAGCCAACGAAGGCACGGCCACTACCGCAAATGGGGGCCCGGTCAAGGCCGCTAAACGCGATTCTGGAGCGGCCGCCTCAGCACTTGGCACCTCCACAGCTGCTGCCTCGACGCTTGGCACCTCTGCAACCACCATTTCGACTGTTGTAGCCTCCGCCTCACCAGCCGTGGCCTCAGCTACGGCCGCCTCACCAGTTGTTGCCTCGGTGACTATCCCCTCGCCAACTGCCACCTCGGTAACGACCGCCTCAGTACCCAACGCCTCGACAATGGTTTCCTTGACCACCGGCGCCTCTGCAGCAACGACTTCAGCATCCACTGCTGCGCCCTGCAAGAAAAGCTAAATCAACAAATATAAAAAGGCGGCATGAGGCAGATAGAAAGAAACCAAGGGAGGAATACTCACAGCCGGAGGAGGGACTTCCTCCTCATCCTCGCCTTCTGAAAGGATGAGGAGGACCCTTTTTCTCGGCAGCTCTGGCACCTCCACTTCGGCCGCGGCACTCCCCACTGGCACGGCCTCAGCAGCCGCAGTTTCGGTAATAGCGGCCTCCCTACTCCTCTTACGGCCTGGGGCTTCAAGAGATAAAACGAAGTTAGCCGCGAAGCTCAGAAAGATGGAAGAAAGAACCAGCGGAGGGGATGGCACGGTCCTGTGCGCCAAGGTCCTTCGCGTCCCCACCACGGTCGTTGCCCTAGAGGATGGGGTCGCGGTTGAAGGAAGGGCCGTCACTCTGGACACGACCACAGCCGGGGCACTCGGCCAAGAAAGCGTGGCTGAGGCCTTCTTCCCTTTACCCCACTAGCCGAGATGAAGTCCTCATACCAGACCCTTCCATCTTCGTCGAACACATTGCGATGCTTCCACGGCCTCAGGGTAAGAAAGGTCATCCCTTTCTGAAGCTGGAAGGAGATCCAAGCCACGCCATGGCTCTCGGAGACATCGGCCTTCCAAGACGAGAGCCGGTTCGTTGACAGAGGGAAGAGTGGGACTGTCTGAATCAGACCGAATTGCCGCGCCACGCAATGCGGCAAATAAACTTCGGCCCCGGCCTTGGATAGGTCACATTGAAGGTCGCGCACGACCAGGAAAGAGCCCCAGATCTCCCTCAAATCGTTCTCCGTTTCACTGTCAGGAATCACGGAGAAGTCGTGCGCCAGGAACAAAGGATACGGCCGAGCAAGGCACACCCAGAACTGTGACCCGGTCCTCTCAGTCAACTCATAGAAAAACTTGAAACAGAAGGCCATTGTGTTGTGTTTCCTGGGGGCCCTGGCCAACGGCTTGGTGTCTGCGACCGTGGTTGCACCCCTCAGTTTTGGGAAGAAGGCCTGGAGCCAAAACTGGAAAGCCCAGAGTGGGCCACCGTGTTTCGGCTTCATCCCATCCGTGACGACGTCGTGAAGCATGCGGTAGATATGGCCGAGGAGAAATGGGCCGAGCGCTAGCCTCCCACCCTGCGCAAGATAGTCGGCCAGATGGGTGAACTCCAGGGTAACCTTGTTCGCCTGGGTGCAGAACACAAACTTGCACAACCAATACAGCAAGAATGCAGCGTGCTCAACTTCGCCGGGGGGAGGGGGGGCGATGGCGTCGTCTTCGGCGCTGTCCTCTACACCGAAGTTATTGTAGAAGCTAGAGTAGTTAAGCATATTCTTCGCCTTGCTCCCGACCAATCTCGTGAGCGTGGGCCACGCGGCTTTGAAACTCCCTACGACCTCAGGAGCAACCAGCACAGCATTCACCTCCACGCCAAGAGGAGAAAGGCCGAATGGAACGGCCGTGTCAAGCACGGTCGGTGTCATCATGCCGAACCGTAGATTCATTGTATTTGTGGCCGAGGACCAGAAATTGAGTGCCGCGGCCAACAGCGACCGATCCATGACGATCGACCGGTCAAAAAGCTTGATCAGGTGGTAGATCCCCTGAGCCTTCCATTGCTGGCCGAAGAAGTGCTCCATCCTCGGCAGCCACTTTTCCCAGTCCGGGGTCGAGGTCGGCCATTGCTGCTGCGGCCGTATGACATTCCAGTCTTGGTAGTCTCCCTGATCAAAAGCAGAAAGATCCACCAAATTGTCCTTCAAATGAACAGCCAGCCTCTCTGGCATTCCCCCTTCCACAGAGGGGCCAAGGAGGCAAGAGTCAGTGGAAACACTGTCATCATCCGCCCAAGGCGCGACGATGTCAGGTAGAACCGAGCCTTGGGCTTCTCGGCAGATGTCTTCGAAGACAGTTTGGAAGACCTGGGACCGAGCTTCAACGGATGCAGAAGTATTGGAGGCCATTAAGACAGATTGAAGTAGAGTGTGTTGAAGAAAAAGTCGAAGAAAGAGTGATGAACACGAAGAGCACCAGGGAACCGAGCACTCAGAAAAAGGGGCGAAGAGTTCGTAAGTTCTCTAAGAAATGCAGAAGAAACGACTAAAATCGTTGGTTACTAACGAGTGGATAACTGGGCAGAACGAGATGGAGTGCTGAGATTTGGAGTTTTAAAAGGGTTGATGGATTGAGGAAATAGTTTGGTAGAGTTTGGGCGTTTGAGGATTCTGAAAGCGTAAAGGAGAATGAAGAAGTTTGGGTTTTATATTGGCGTTAGAATTTGAAACGAAAATGCATGGCTCTCGAGAGAGACGTAACGGTCTGACAGCGTGTTCGAGTGCGCGATGACGTGTCGGAAGCCCAGAAGCCGTCGTTTCATTTGACGAGACGAAACGACGGCTCGCGCAAGTCTGGGCAATGATGGCCAACAAGACGTGCTTGCACATTAAAGGCGCCAACTGTCAATCACTTCAGGAGGAATGCAAAGGCTCCATCCCTTGGAATCCATTCGGCCTCTGCCCAGGCCGCGACCGAAGAATCCAGGGATGTGGGGGCAATGTTTGTCCCTAATAAATCACGGTCATAAACTGACTAAAGGGACTTCCTCTCGGCCCTAGCACCTACTGTTTCATTAGGCTTTTCGCCTTCCTGAAAATAAAAGAAAAGCTGCAAAGGCATAATCCTCACGACCGCGGTGTTATAGGCCGAAGCCGAAGGCCGTAAAAGACACGTGGCCTCAGGGTCCCACGCCCCATTTAATGAAGTAATGCCTCTAACTATCGCAGCAAACCCACTAGTCGCAAGAAGCATTTAATACACGAGGGAAGAAGGGAAGTGACTAAAGTCAGGATTTGGTGATGGAAATCAGAGTGGTTAGGCGCAAACATTCTCACAAGTATTCTTACAACTTGAGGTCAGATTACCAACCACCAGACTAGGGCATTAAATGCGTTCCCACAGCCAAGGGGGCAGAACTCACGATCAGGGCGGTAGCCGAGATTTACCGGGATTTATGGGGGTCACACCACCATGCTTCACGATCCCAAATGCCGATTTGACTACCCACTTGCCCCGATCATGCTCCACCATGCAGATCTTTTCAGCCTCGATTGTCCCTCCATGACTCCTCCTATAAATACTAAGCTCAAGACTACATTCAAAGGGTTCAAACACCAAACCAAAAGCCTCCCACGGAGCAAATTATATTTTCCAGTAATGCACTTTCAATACCTTTATTTGCTTTCCTAAGTGCTTTCCATTCATCAATATATCATACGACCCTTGATTTTCAAGGCGCCATCTCTGTTATCATCTCATTCACCCCATATATCATACGACCGTCACTCTCTGAGCAATGCGCCAGAGCACCGCCTAAAACCCACCACCACTAAACGGCCTTGTAGCTTAGGCCGTGAACCTGATGGCCGAGATCAGTTCCTCTCTCGGCCACAATCGTTTGATTAGGAGTCGAACTCAAAACAGGCGCATCATTTAACCATCTTCTACCCAAACCCCATCACCATCTCGACACACGGTAGACCGTGTTGGCACGCCCACGCACAACCGCACTGCATCCAAAAGAAGGACGTCACATGTTAACGCACATCCCCTCGGCCCGGAGCACCAGGCCGTGAGATTTGCGCAGCCAAGGATTGCCCTCCAAACCATTTCCCCTTCCTCAAAACTCTTGTTTTTAACTTTCTTGTTATAGGCTCTTGCAACAGCCTATTTTCCTGCAAAGAGTTTGTTTAGGGTATCAATTCTGCTTGTGTCTAATCCTTCCAGTTCTAGCAACATTGCTTGAGAGTAGTCTTCTCTAACCAGATTATGTTGCTGGGCAATCCTGATGGACTGATCTGCAATTTTCATGGGCAGAATTGAGTCATGACCATAGGTTAAAGCATACGGCGTCATGCCAGTTGCATCTCTTTTTGAAGTTCTGTAGGCCCAGAGAGTTTCTGATAATTTCTCATGTCATTGCCTTGGATTATCTTCAAGCATTTTTCTAATGATATTGATGATCACCTTGTTGCTTGATTCTACCTGTCCATTTGCCTGAGCATAGTAAGGAGTGGATTGAAGTAGTTTGATTTTAAGTCCTTCGGCCATATCTAGCATTTCTCTGGATATGAAGAAAGTTCCCCTATCAGTTGTGATTGACTTTGGTATGCCAAACCTGTGTATGGTGGATTTGACTAGTTTGGCTTCTACCCAATTAGTAAAATAAGTTGTAGCCACAATGATAAAACAGTGTTGTTTGCTGCTGGCTGAATAGATCTTGCCAATGAGGTGCATTGCCTATTCTTTGAATGGCCATGGTTTAACCACTGGATTCATGGGAACTGAGGGAGCTTACTAGATTGGTCCATGCCTTTGGCAAGCCTCACATCCCTTGGAGTCCTTGATCATGGTTGGCCAGAAGTAATCGTATCTTCTAATTAGCCAACACATCTTTCTTCTACCTTGATGAGCTCCACAGATTCCTTCATGTACTCTTCTTTTCCTAAGCATCTCAAAAGTAATTCATCCTTACTTTTTCGGACCAAATCTCCGTTCCACATATTCAAAGCCATGGCTCTTATTCTTTTCTTTGAAGGAAGAGTTGGATACTGCAAGTAATTCATGACAGGAGCTCTTCAATCTTCTCCAGTTATTATGGAAAAATTGACGTCTATCTCCATTACTCTGGTCAGAACATATGGTAGACTCCTCTTTCCCACCTTGATGATCCTTTGTACACAGTCTTCAGGTATTTGTACCCCTGTTGCTATCTGAGCCATTTCATTGGCTGCAAGGTTCTCCTATTTTGGAATGTGTTCCCAAGTAGCTTCCTTGAATTTTTTCAAAAGATTTATGGCTGCCACTAGATAAACGGCTAAAAATGGGTTTAAACACTTATATTCTCTAGCAATCTGCTTCATTACAAGCATGGAATCTCCCAGAATTTCCACAGATTGAATTCCCAATTCTACCAACATTTCGAGGCCAATGATCAAAGCTTCGTATTTTGCCCTATTGTTGGTGCACTGGAAATCTAGCTTGAATGAATAACAGTGTCTAATTCCCTGCTCCAGAGGCTAAGTCAGTTTTGGATCCATCAGAGTACAGTTTCCAAGGGGTGAGGTGGACTGAGTAGATGGGATGGTTGAGACAAGTATAAGCTCTAGTCAATATATTTGCATTTACTATATCCATGGAATCCATGTTTTCAATCTCCTCTCCTGGATGATTATCCACGAAATTTGCCACAACTTGCCATTTGACAGCCTTCTGATGGACATATATGAAAGCAAATTCTGTTAAGGCCAAAATCCATTTGCCAATTCTGCCTCTCAACATTGGCCTTGTCAGTGATGTAGATGGTGAAAGGCAACATGTAATGTCTAAGATTTACAGCAGTGAAATATAAAGCCAGACACAACCTTTCAATTGCAGAGTAGTTTCTCTCTATTTTTGTCAAAGTTCTGCTTAAGTAGTAGACTTCCTGCTCTTTTCCTTCCCTGTTATCTTGGGCCAAAGGACTCCCAATAGATGTCTTTGATGCAGAAACATATAGTTTGAGTGGTCTGCCTTTAGTTGGCGGGGACAGAACTAGAGGATTTGAGAGGTAATGCTTGATTCCCACCTAAATATCTGTTCTTGTTTCAATTTTAACAGTGACGAGAAAGGTTTTTCCAACAGAATTGGATATGAATCTCCTGAGAAAGTTGATCTTTCCTAAGAGGCTCTGTAATTCTTTCTTGTTCCGAGGTGGTAGAGCTTCTATGATGGATTTTGCTTTATTTTTGTCAATCTCTATACCTCTTTGATGGACCAAGAAGCTTAGGAAATTCCATGCTTGAACCCCAAAAACACATTTCTTGGGATTCATTTTTAACTTGTGCTAGCGCATTCTTAGGAAAGCTTTCCTTAGATTGAGTACATGATTTTCCTTTTCCTGAGATTTGATGACCACATCATCTATCTACACTTCTAAGGAATGGCCTATCATGTCATGGAACATAGAATTCATTGCCCTTTGGTAAGTGGCTCCTGCATTTCTTAGGCCAAATGGCATTATAACATATTCAAATGCGCCTATGTGCCCTGACACATAAAAGCAGTCTTGTGGATGTCCTCTTCTGCCATCATTATCTGATTATACCCTAAATTGCAATCCATAAAAGATAGCATTTGGTTATGAGCAGCTTCATCTACCAGCACATCTACCATTGGCATAGGATATTCATATTTATGAGATGCTTCATTCAGATTTCTATAGTGCATAGAGATTCTGACCGCCCCTGTTTTTCTTTTGATAGCTGGTACGATATTGGATAGCCAGTCAGCATAGATGACTGGTTTGATGAATCCTGCCTTGACCAATCTCTCTATCTCTTCCTTTACTTTTAATTCTGTTTTCATGGACATTCTTCTTCTGGCCTGTTTGACTGCAAGGTACCCTTCTTTGATTGGCAGCTTGTGTTATACTAATGCTTTATCCAGTCCGGGCATCTCATGATAATCCCATGCGAAACAATCTCTGAAATCATGTAAAAGTGCAATGATTTCACTCTTTAACGGTTCTTCCAGCAGCGCACTAACAAAAGTAGGTCTAGAATCTTCTTCTGTCCCTAAATTTATCTCCTGTAGAGGATCTTCCACTTCTGGCAAAGAGTCATCCAATGCTGCTGGTGCGAATTCTAATTCCTCCACATGTAAACTCTCTTCCTGCTCTTCAGTACTCTCATGTGTGAACTCTGCCATATTAATGGCTACATTTTGCATAAAGAGCTTCCTTTCTCCCCAGTATATCAACAATCCTTTTATAATGAATCAGATTGTTGCGGCTCGATCCTTTTCTTGTTGATTGGGGCTAGACATCAGAGTTCTAGAGGTTCATAACAAGAGGTCTATTCCAGTCCTCTAGAGAGTTGGCTAGACCTTTCTCAATAAGTCTCTGGGCTGTGACACCATGGGGGCGGCCGTTCTGGTTGACTCCAAAGAATTTGAAAGGACCAAGGCCATCATGATAATACCTGGCCTCAAAACACATTGTAGTAGGTAGAAATGGCCGTGGATCAGCCTTTACTATTTCCATGAAGCCCTCTTCATGCCAATGGGCCAGTTGTTGATGTAGAGTGGAAGGAACACATAGGCTCTGGTGAATCCAGTCCCTGCCAAGTACATTGTGAGTGGTGGAAGTGGTGTCTGCCACAAAGAAAGCAATTTTTAGCATCTTGGTTCCTACTATGACATCCACATCTAGTATTCCATGAGTCTTGGTGATGCCTCCAGCAAAATTGCCAATGAGGCCCATTTTGGCCAAAAGTTTGTGAGATAACAGATTGATCACTACACCCCCATCTACCATCACTTTGGGAATAGGAATTCTTCCAAAGTTTGCAGTAATGAACAATGGTCTGAGATGGTTGGCCATTTCCTTAGTGGGTTTGGGGAAGCATACTCCTTCTGCAGCTGTTTTGATAGCAGTTCTGTCTATTATGGCAGCAAAATTCTACTGTTCTGGCATCTCTCTCATTAAAGCCAACCTGCATTCAAAGCCCTATTCAGAGAACACATCTCCTTCCAGAGTACTTTCTTATCCTTTTGCTACTCTGAACTGTTCTAGAGGGACAAAGACCATGTTAACATCTAAGTCACCCTGCAGCAAGTTTTCCAGTTATGCTCCAAAGGTCTGGGTCCCTTCATCAAGTTCTCCATTATATCCTTCAACCTAGTCCTCTTACTCTTCAGTCTCGAGGAATCCAGTCTGGTCATCTGCAGCTGGTTCATAATCTACCTGTTCTTCTCCATATCCTTCTGTCCAATCTTCCCGATCATCTGCTGGAAAAACTTTGGATTGTTCCCGCGAAGATGAACCTTGGTAGAAAGAGGATCCAATTAACCTGTCTTGTTGGTGTGTTAGCTTTTTTGTTTGGATACTCTTCTCTAGATCATTCTCAATTCTAGCAGAATTGATGTCTAGGAACACCTTTGTGTCTTCACGGTTCTTCAAGAAAGTGCAATATTGTTTTTGGATTCTCCTTTTCTATGTTCTAGTTAGTTCCATGGTTGGTCTGCCATGTTTTTCGACAGAATACCACCTGCCATCTATGATGGTACCCAAAGGCTTGTTATTTCCAGGCAATTTGACTGGTACTTCCTTCTTTGGTAGGTTAGCTACCTTCTTAATTTGTTGGGCAGGCCTGGTATAGGATTTCTGTCTAACTATGCTTCTGGATAGAATTGGTATTGGTGTTTGCTTATATGAAATTCTGATTTTGTCAAAGACACTTGTGGCAAGTGGAATTTGTTTATCCAAAGCTATTTCTAGCTCACATTCACATTTACAACTGCTGCACAGAACTACTCCAACTGAGACAATGGCCTTCGGTAGTTGATTAGGACCTCTTGTGACTTTTCTGCTTCTGTCGAGGCTGACTTCCACTGCCAACTTGCTTTTTTCCTGTTCTGGCCAGTTTAGATTGACCGTGTTTACCTGTGGCTGAGGAAAAGGATCTGTAGTGACCGTAGGAGGCTTCTAAGCTAATTTCAGCTTCCCTGTGGTTATTCCCTCATGTATAATGTCCCTAAAAACGACACAGCTATTGGTGGAGTGATTCCAGGAGTTGTGTCACTTGCAATACTGTCTACCTTTGAGCTCTTCTGGCTTAGACAACCTGTGAGGTGTTTCTATTGCCTTATGTAAGAACATCTCATCAAACAAAGCATGTGAAGACTTGTATTTTAAAATATATATTAGTTATATTTATATGTGTAATTATCTTGGTACGTATATGTAAATATTGTTGTTATATTTTTATATTCATTATTATGAATATTATTATAATAATACTTATATATTTATATCTTATTACATATATTATTCTATTATATATATATATATATTTGTGTGTGTGTATTACATAAATATCATGTTCTATTATATATTGATATGCTTAGTCATTGTTAGTGTAGTACGTGTCAAAGAAAAACAAATGCTTAGTAAGCATAGCTATATACTAGCTTTGTCAATTCACCAAGAAAAGTTGTATAGGATTGGAGGAATTGGGAACTACCTAAGTATTAGTAAACCGCCAAACACCATCCAATAGGAAGGGAGTCACTGCCGACATATTCCCTATATATATATAAGACATTATGTGCATAGCAAATGAACCGAGAGAGAGAGAGAGAGAGAGAGGGAGAGGGAGAGGGGGGGGGGGGGGGGGGGCGTATCTTGTATTTTCTTTAAATTGGAGCAATGCTTTGGAATCGAGGTATGGGTTTCTTGGGGGCCTTTACTTGTATTGATCTAATTAAATTTCGTGAGCACTATATTATGCATGATATTATTATTTGATTATTATTGATATTGGGTGTTTAAGTGTTATTAATTATCATTATTTTATTTTATTAATATTGACATAATCATATGTTATCGGTGATGGCTGGAACTCTTGGGTTGATAAAGAAAGTACGGAAAAGAGGGTAATGGGAAGGATCTTTTGTGTAGTTGAGTCTAACTCTTGGCAGGTACTAGGTCTCAGGGATCTCATAGTGCACATAGTTTTTATTAGGTGATTCGGGACTGGCGACAGGGAGTTAGACAAGATGACTAACAAAATGGGAATTATGGGATGATTGAGATGGGTGTTAGTTCATATAAATGGGCATTCGAGACCAAGTGGTATAAGCATGGTATGGGACGTGCAGGTCTGCTTGTCCCATTATATGAATTAACGAGATCAGATAAAGAGCATTCATGCATTAACATTTTTAATGTGATATTTGGTTGTGTGATTGCATGTCACTTAATTTAGTTTTATCAATGTACTGAGGTAAGGTCTCATTCCCTATTGAGCGGTGGTTGCTCACCCCTTACTCTATTTAAATTTTTTCAGATGAATTAGTGGGCAAGACAAGGAATAAACCAGTTGAGGCTGAATTAGATGAGAATGATAGAGTTTTATTTTTTAATTGTAAAATTGTAAGATTTTGGGAGCTATTTTTAAAAGAAAATTTTATTTTAAACTCTTGCTTCTTTTTATTTTCTCACGCACTGAGCGTAGGGTTTCCACCGACCCTCGGGTCCGAGGAGTGACAAAATGGTATCAGAGCATAGGGATTAAACACCCTTGGGAATTGTGATCTTGTATTAGTACAAAATAAGTTTTAATTGATAGAATGAGTTAGGGGCATAACTTTTTAGAGTAGGTTTTCTTGATTAAGTGTTAGCAAATTTCAAGGACGAAATTTCATTTGAGGATAGATTGTGAAGGCCTATATTTTAAAATATATTTATATATATAAATATATATTAGTTATATTTATATGTGTAATTATCTTGGTACGTATATGTAAATATTGTTGTTATACTTTTATATTCATTATTATGAATATTATTATAATAATACTTATATATTTATATCTTATTACATATATTATTCTATTTTATATATATACATATATCTTATTATATATATATGTGTGTGTTTATTACATAAATATCCTATTCTATTATATATTGATATGCTTAGTCATTGTTAGTGTAGTACGTGTCAAAGAAAAACAAATGCTAAGTAAGCATAGCTATATACTAGCTTTGTCAATTTACCAAGAAAAGTTGCATAGGATTGGAGGAATTGGGAACTACCTAATCTGCAAAGCTAGAATATAACTTGGATTGTAAGTATTAGTAAACCGCCAAACACCATCTGTTGTCGTTGGATTAGCTGCACCAAAATTGATTCAGCTGCATCCTCAACTTGTGATACTAGCAAGTGCACGAGCCGTTTGGTAGTATAGCATATGTAAGTTCGAGGTCGATCCCACGAGGATTGGTGATTGAATGATCCAATTCATTTTCCCTACACAAAACAGAAATGAAAAAGAAAGGAAATAAATAAAACAAGAAAGAAAGAAAAGAAAAACTAACTCAAGGAAATAGGTTCCCAAGTTCAATTTAGATTAACGGATTGATTCTAGCTAAAGTATGATTAAGCCATGGTGTCTGGTCCTAACCTTGTATTCCTAATTCCCTAATTTGTCATCTATTGTCTAACCTAAAATTAACCATTAGGAATCCATTAAGCATAGAAGAACATTTTAAACAACCAAGTATGTATCTAATCCTGTTGTCTAATGTCCATACGTACTCTTCCTAATTAAATTAGAGCATGGTGTCTACTCTTAATTCAAACCAAGATAGCTAACATGAGCCGTAATGGTTATCAATCATTCAAACTAGCATATTAACTTATAAGCATAACGAATAAGAACAAAAACCATAATTGAAACTTAGAAACTAATCAAACTTGAAAACTTAAGAAAAGAATTTACATTACAAAGAAAAACAAATTACAACTAAGAAGCAAAAGGAAAGCTAGAATTGCGAACTAGAAAGCAAAACTAAGAGAATTTGAGGGAGAGAAGGGAGGGGAGCTCTAGAGAAGTGTTTGAGAGCTCCCCCACTTGGGGTGTGTTTACAAGCTTGGAGAAACTCACTATTTATAGGCCTAAGGGAAGTGAAAATCTGAATTAAGTATTGCTTCCACCTACAACACTCACTTCACCAACTTACAACATTTAAGTCACCAACTTTACCTAACACACAATTGCATTTGAAAACAATTCCTCTTGTCTTTAAGCTTAGTGTTGCATGTAACAACCCGATCATAAATTAATATTTAATTATTAATTTATTCAAGTAAAAGACAATTTCACCTCGGGAATATTTTAATGGGTTTAAAAGTTGACATTTTGTTCGGAAAACAATTTTCGGAATTGAGTTACACCGTTGCGTCGGGCTCGTCGAAACAATTTCGTAAACATGTGGCACGCCCAATTCCGAATTGTAACGAAGGAGGAAATGTCTAGAAACAAAAAGGATGTAATTGGGATGTTTTTTAATTCGTACTGTAGCAAACAGTACCACCACAGTACCGATGCTAAAGTAATAGGGCTGTTTTAAAATTGTTGCCCCCCCCCCCCCCCCACCCTTCAAAAATAGCAACCCCCCCCCTTTGTGACTATTCATCCAAAACAGTTTTTGGGCCACCATATCCTCCTCCGGCCACTCCAAGCGACGGCATAGGTACCAAAAGAACCAGCACATTGTCCTCTACCAGTCTCACATCTCAGCTGCTGCCAACCGCCGTCTGGATCATCGAAAAAAGAAAGAAATTGGCCGGTTATTACCCAAAATCTCCATCGCTCGTTCGGGCGATTCCGACCGCCATTTTCTTTGATCCATGTATGTTTTGCTATCATCTCAAAGTGTTCTAGCTACTGGTTGTGTTGGTTAGGAGAAATTTCTGAGTTTTCGAGGGGAAATAAGCGATTGAAAATCTGTTGATTTTCGGCCTCTGTCAACTTTTTGGGATAGGTCCAAGAACAAAAGTGTCTCTAAATGAGGTTTCAAACCTAGGGTAGGAA